ATTCTCGGGTTCTAGCAACTTATGATTAATTCTACCTTCGGTTCCTAGAAGATTTTGTTATATATATGTATGATGAAAACTAGACTGTAATTTATTACGTCACCAAATCAACTGTGAAGCTCACTATTCATGGCAAGTGCTCGAATGGTCGTCTCGTTAATACGATAAGAAAATAAATTTTTACTGCCGTACTGCGGATATAAAATTTAAAGTCTCTGGTAACTGTCCATATATATTTGATTGATTTTTGAATTATTTTTTTTATTGATTTCTATGAATTGTAAAACGCTGTAAAATATTTTTTTACTGATTCATATAAAAATGAAACGTTGGAAGATAATCAATAGCGATATAACTTTTCTGTAATATGATTTTTTTGCAGATATAGAGATACATTGTGCTATTAATTACGTAATGCATTGAGAAAAATGTTTTGATTAAATCAATAAAGAAGCTCAACAAAAATAACATTTTGAGTGAGGTGAGGCCAAACAGAACTTCTGTTTATGATAAATTTTTTTTGGCTTCACCCAAATTCTTGTGTTTTTTGGCCTTTTTATTAATTTAATAAGAATATTTTTCTTAGTTTCCCTTTAAATGTTAGATTAGTTATTCATTCTACTAAAACTCTAGGATTCCTACTTACTTACTGCTACGTTTTTTCTTAATGAAAATTCAATTTATTTGCACATATGGGTATCATTGAAAATCGTTGAAGTTAAATTATTGAAGTTGAATGCCAATTTTACTATCGACATTTTTCTAAATAGTATCACAATGCGATTATGATACCTAATTTCATTAATAAATTGTTTATTGCTATTTATTTACTCATCTTTTTCTTTCTTACTATAGTTATTATCGCTAACAGTAAGATGTTAACAACTATCAAGTTAGTTACCATTATAAAACTCTCTATAATAAATTGATAATATATTAATGTGAAATAATATAAAGAGCTCTACTTATTTTCTACTTTTCTTGCATTACGTTTAAAAATAATTGGTACGAAAGATTTTATCTCACTGCAACAATCATTCCTTATGAAGACGTATAGCGTCTACGGCATTGGAAGCAAATGTGTCCATTACCTAGTACCGAGAGGAATGCTTCTTCGACTTTATTGTTCGTTAAGATGCGATGACAAATGAATTATTGCTCGCTGAAAAAGAATGAACGGAAAATGTACAGGAGAAGTGATTCTTAATACCAGTTTTATTAGCGTTTTATTACAAAATTTTCAAGTCTTTTACGTCCTATATAATAAAGAATCAACTAATTATAGTTATAGTTGATATAAGACGATGATTCTTTATTATATAGGATTTTTTATTATATAGTTGATAACTTGCATCTTGCATACAGTTATTTAAAATCCAAAAATCTTTAAGTTATATCAAATAATTTCTTAAATAAAGAAAATTCAATTTGTATGATATTAATTGTTTGTTTAAATAAAATAAACAATATATCATAAAAATTATCGAATTATTCGCTCATTTTTTTTACGGTAAAATTTTGTACTATGTGCATACTGAAAACTTTCTTTGCAGCTGCAGACGAGCTCGTCTGTAAGCATATGAATGCACTTTTGCATTCCCTGTCGAGTAAAGTGCAACTCGAAGGAGAGACTTCGACAATGGGTATCCATTTCGTGTGTTCAAACAAAAGCACTTTGCATTTTACTCTTTTTTTTTCATACGCATTATTCACGTGACCAGGTAACGTTATAAGATACGAAAGCGCGCATTGTTCTTTCTTTTTGCATTATAGATGTAGAGTATGTAGACCTAACATTATCAAAATAACAGCAATCAAGTTTTGAAAGCGCTATCATGCATCATAATTATATTTTATATAAGAATAGTACCTGAGTATATATTATTATCTTTTATTATAGATATTATTTTTAAAATACACGATAATGTATCATAAAAAATATATCTCTCTTATCTTTAAACATTTTAGAAGACTGCTTTTTGATATAGGGATGCTAGTCTTTACTTGATTTATTGTTTGTAAGATAGAAAGCTGTGAAGTGGATGGAATACTGAACGATAAACTTGAGAATCTCATCGGAGATTGGCGTCACGGGGTGAATTAGCTGGCGCTTGGCCGGTTCGCGTGTCACAATAACTACGTTTTTGCTGACATCACTTGTTTAGCACTCGGTAATTGCTGAAAATAGTCCAGATGAATCGTCACCGATGGCGATTCCCCGACGCGTGAATAACACGAACTTCATCGAGGGGACAATGTCGAATGCCGGAGGATGACAAAAATAGCTGCGGCCGCTCGGATTCGACTAAATTTGCACAACTGAGTGCATCTTCAGCGTTATTCTTAAGAGATCCACCAATCGCGAGAATCATGCTTTTACTCTCGCGGAGAACATGTCAAGAGGGAGACGCGTTGCAGCTGTTACGCGCGAAATGACACGCATGCATATTGCATGTTTGAATTACATAAAAAATTGTGTAATAAAAAATATTATTGACTATCTTTAAATTATGCTGATTAATTTTAGAGATTTTTATCACAGACAAATCTTCATTGACAAACTGAAACCTTTCACTGTTTATATTTTATTAACTATCAATTATGAAATATACCTAAGTTTTAAAGTATTCTATTTGAAGTAAGAATGCAAGTGAACCTTCGATATAAGGCGATTGATAGAGGAAGGTTCAAAATTTTTTCCTTACAATTCAGAATCTTATAGTACTAATCATATAGATACCCAGACAGCATGCTTGTCAGAATGAAAACCGTAAGAGAACGTTTTCAGAAGAACATTTAGTTATCTTGAAAATGATGTCCACAAATAATATCTTAAAATAATCATTTATCAGAGGTATCTACTAGGAGAATTCTTTAAGATACTTTACTTCAGAAATTTCTTGAAATTTTTATCTTTATGATATTATGCTAAATAATGGAACATATCATTATGTTGTATGGTTTTTGAGCCATACAAATGCACATGCACCGTTATTATTTGAGAGAGATTCAGAAACTAGACATAATTATAATATCTTTTATGAGAAATTCATTTGTTGTCATTTTAAAAGATATCATAAAGATAACTTTATTTTGATACTTTTCTTCATTCACCCACGAACAGTAAGCGGAATCGCTACCAGACGGACGTGGTGGAGTTTGGGTTCTCGTGTTTGAAAATCGTACGGGATAGAATAAAAGGTGCAGCATTATGAGAAATATAACTTGTGTTCTGACGAACACTCATGAAATATTTTTTAAAAGCGAGTCCTCAAAGGGGACTATGATGAAAGATAATGGCCCTTGTACACAGGACATGGCAAGCATTGCAGACATAATGAGATATATATTGATATATGACAGTCATACAATTTCGTTTAGTTTTGTGTAAAAATTAATTCAGATATCTAATGTTATTAAATGTTACATGTGCCAAAATATCAAAACTAGAAGAAATCTTAAAGACAATTAAAAGATGTTTAGAGAAGTCATCTTTTAGTCATATTTCAGACGACTTTGTACTCTTTAGATATATAACAGACTTCTTTTAGACTTTTCATAAATACGAACTTTATGTATTAATATACTTTGGATATCATAAAGACATGCAATTTGAGAAATCTTTTAGATATCATTTTTGTGATATCTTTCTGTTCTCAAAAAACGACACATTAGATAATATTCAGATATTTTTATGTGGCCTTTTAGAAATTCAGATTTAGAAATCAGATTCAGAAATGAGATATCTTTTAGAAATTTTTTTAATAACATATTGTTATGTGGATAAGTACAACCGGCTAAAATTTTTTACTTTGAGTCAAAATCTGACCTGTTGTTGTAGTTGAGAGTTAAAAAAGACATACATTTGTCGTGTTTCTGTTAGGCGTAGTTTAATACTTCTGCTGATTTATTTACAAATTGATTACTTCAACTGAAATCAAGTATTAGTTATCTCTCAAGATAAGAGCGATTTTTATATCGAAGAAATCAAATTGTTTACTTTAATTCGTTATTTTGCGCACATTTCCGCATTTTAATAACATCGTACCTACATGTTTATTAATACATGTTTTCATAACATACATGTGTTCTGCTTTTAAATTTTATTCTGACAGACGAAGCTTTGCCAAAAGTTAATACTAACTATAATTAATACCATTCCATATAAAATTCAGATTCTACAGGTATTCATGATTGGTTGGCGATCGCTCAACATGTGAATCATTGTTCGTTGAAGATCTATTAGCACTTTCATTGCGTAAACACGCAACGCTTTTTCGTTAGCGTTGCTTCGAGACACGCATTGTGAAAGAACGCGACATCTTGATTCCATAAGTGCATTGTGGTAAAATATTTCTTTAATAACGCCCACTCGATCTTATTCATGTCGGATAATTGAGCGGTGATCGATCTACGCGGATGAATAATAAGACTTTACGCAATTGGAAAGGAAACTCACAGTCGGTGAAATCTCTTCTCAAAAGGAAGTTACTCACTCATGAATAATAAATTTCATGGCAATTGTATTTTTATGAATTAAGTACGACTCATATCGTGCGTATTTAGGAATGTGATAGCAACTCTCTTTAAAATAAGATTTCTCTCTAAACTTATGAACTTATTTCGCAGTATCACAAAATAAGAAGAAATTTTTACATTAAATATGATAGTAAAATTTAATCTTTCGCTAATAAGTTGTTAATCGACATTGCCAAAAATTAAGAAGAAAAATTCATAAACATAACACATTTGAATTACGGCCAATGTTTCAACATTACCTATCCAACAATAAAATATATAGTTTACCCTTACAGAAATTTAATATTGGTGGAAGGTAGTGATTAATTACTTCTTTTGAGTATTAAAAACACTGTTCTTTAATGCTTTTAAGTAATTTTCAATATTAAGTTGGCTAGTATTAATTGAATTTTTGTAAAAGAGCTTTATAAGGAGCTTGCTTACGCAGGAAATTGATCAATCTTCTCTCTTTAATTTCGCAGATTCTTCAGACATCGTAGACTGTAAATTAAAGTTGATCCTCGGTTTAATATGGACCCTGATCCTGCACTATTCGATCTCTATGCCTATGTGGGAAGGCGACGACGGCGAGGACAAGGGCGCTACCCCGAAGCAAAGGCTGATGCATTGGATCCAATCGAAGGTGCCGGATCTGCCGATCTCGAACTTTACCTCCGATTGGAACGACGGCCGCGCGGTGGGTGCGCTTGTTGATGCGGTCGCACCTGGCCTTTGCCCGGATTGGCGGGAGTGGAACCCGAAAGATGCGGTCCAGAACGCGTCCGAAGCGATGGGTCTCGCTGATGACTGGCTCAATATTCCTCAGGTTTGCCGCAATATTATATATTGCAATTCATTCGATTTTAAAGCATGACGCGGAATAAAGAAGACTTATAGGTTTGATTAATTAATACTACACTAGACTTTATTAATTATATGCTACTAACTTTTTAAGATGTTATTAAAGTTGATGGATTATATTTTAATTGAAGATTATCTGCGAAAAGAGCTAATTAATATAATGGCATAAAAATTAGGAGATATCACTATAGATAAATTAATTTTTAATCCCATGGCTAAGAAGCGTTTCATAAATTATGTCATTCTCGTTGCAGCTCATTAAACCCGAAGAGATGGTGAATCCAAACATCGACGAGATGTCGATGATGACATATCTATCACAATATCCCAGCGCAAAATTAAAACCAGGTGCACCTCTGCGCGCCCGCACGAACCCAAACAGGTAGGGATAAAAATTTTGTATTTTTTAAAGCGTTATCATGGTTTTATACTATGTATTTACTTTTGTATTTATTTATTGCAAACAACAATTTCCTTTATTTTAAATACTTTATATGAATTTTTTGTTACCTAAAATTACATTGCTCACAAAAAATATTACAATCTGTGCTGTTTATTATAATTTCGATCGTTCAAGGGTGACCTAATACGACTGCAAATGATCTTTTTTTTTTTTTTTTTTTTTTTCATTTTGATGTACGGTATTTGGTAAAAATATAAGAGATGAAGTGCGCGCGTAGATCTCTGTTATATGATTGTGATTAATTAATCAATTTATTTCATTTCTCGGTCGCAGCATCCCACCGCCGCGGTAAGTCGCGCAATGATCATGTATTGTGACGTATAACGGTTTTTGCGCAATTAATGTCCGCCGCCTTGATGAGATCTACCTCTTAACCCAACACTCCTAATTTTTCCTTTGTACATATATGTACGTAAACGCTTGATAGAGTAAATAAATTGCGTAGTGCGCGGTTAGCGAATACATGATTTGTAAACTTCCTGAAGAGAAAACGAGAGAGAGAGAGTTGATTAATACGATGTTGACAATAATTTATAGCTTATCGAGTTTTGCAAATTAGATAGATTTGTTTCTTTTTTCAAAAAGCTTACTATCTACAATTTTTATAATGATTTGTCACTCCAAAAAGTGAACTCTCTTAAAGAAAATTGAGCCACTCTCTTTCAAGACGCTCAATTTTCACTCTGTAGAATGAGATTCCATCCTAAAGAATTTAAAAAAAAAGAGTATGTAATACTATTAATTAATCTCTCTGTATATATACATGTATACGTGAAAGTTTCACGAATTGAACTAACCGGATAGCGAATGTCCGCAAATCTGCAAAATGTCGCGCGCTTGCAAATTTGTTTTTGAAAAGAACGACGCAAATCGCGCAACATAGCACAAAGCAACGCTTGTAACCGTCTGGCAAATGGATTTACTTAACGTATTGATGTAACAACGTCGCGGCCGCTGACTGGCAGCTCGCAAAGTGTCTTTTCTTACGGTATTTTCTTGTGCAGAGTACGTGCTTATGGTCCCGGTATAGAACCAACCGGTTCAATCGTCGGTGCTCCTGCCAATTTCACCGTGGAAACCTTTTCCGCCGGCAAGGGTAACGTTGATGTTATCGTCGATGATCCTAAAGGGAATAAGTTACCGGTAAGACCCCGTTTAAATAACGTTTAATCATATATTCAAATATAAAATATTTTGATATCTTAAAAGATTGATCCGAATTATGTAAATTGTTCCCAAAAATTTAGAATGGTTTTTTACATTCCAAATATTTCCAAAGGTTGAAAATAATTTTTTGCAATCCTTTTATGAGTCCGTAATGAGAATTTTTTTTTATAACTTATTGTCAATAAATATTAACTGACAATAAAAAAAATATATTACATCGATATATATAATTTACTACTTAACTGTTACATGCAACATTTATTTAATCTATTACATTACAATTATATTATTAAGTTGGAAATTATAATATTCATGTAATATGTTATTGTTAGTGTTTACCGGAAAGTAATTAAGCTTATTATGGGATTATGAAAGGATGAAATTATATTTGTAATATATTTTGAATAGTTACTAGTTTGGTTTATTTCAGTTAGACTTAATAATATTTTTTAATTTTTTATTTGATTATCAAGATAACGAAGATCGAAGATGACAAAAAATTGTTGTTAAGAACAAAGAATTTTTTATTTTATTAGAAATGGATTAAATTTGCAAAATTTCCTAAATCAAACGCAGAAATCCTTGTGCCGTTTTAATATTAAGTAGATATACATAGTTACAACAGCATCTGATTGAGTACATTGCCGGAAGTCAGAAAATGTTTATCGCAATCATGATAATTACGCCACAGGACGTGGACACGTGTGATATAATGACTATTTATATGCCGTGTGACTATTACGTATTATCTGAATGTACGAGTCTTCGAGATATACAGGGTGTTTCCAAATTAAATGGCAAAACTTCGGGAGCGTGTAGAGGAGTAAAAAACTAAGAAAAAAAGTCCTATAGACATATGCTCCTTTTTGCTTTGTTTCGCAGGAAATCACGAAAAAAGAAAAAAATATATTTAATTTATTATTTTAATTATTTTATTTATAAACTTTTTAATGAAGATTTTGTTCGAAATGTGCACCTCTTGCAGCAATACAAGCATTGCATCTGTCAAACACGGCTCTTGTAGCAGCCACGCCTTTAAAGCATTACCGTTGCAGAAACCGTATACAAAAACCATATCAGCATATTCACTATTAGAATACGTACGCGGCATATTGCAAAAGACAAAATTCATCTACTGTTAAAGGCTTTCAAAGAGCGACTGACAAATTCATAACAGAAAGTGGAAAATGTAATCAAATATGTCGGTGCTAGATATGGCAAGAAATGTAAACATTTTTTTTCGATTTCTCTGAAACGGAGCAAAAACGAGCATATGTCTATAGGACTTTTTTTCTTAGTTTTTTACTCCTCTACACGCTCCCGAAGTTTTGCGATTTAATTTGGAAACACCCTGTATAAGTTGAACGAACGCCGTTTTTACTTCTCGCGTCATATTCTAATGATGCCGACTCGATTGTGTTTTCAAGGTCGATATCAGATTCAACAAGGACAGGAATCTGACATACTCCGTGTCATATACTCCAAAAATGGAAGGTCCGCACAAAGTGAAGGTACTCTTCGCTGGTAGAGAGATCCCGAAGAGTCCATACACCGTTAATGTCGAAGGACACGCTGGTGATCCGAGTAAAGTCACAGCAAGCGGGCCGGGTCTGCAACCGGAAGGAGTCGTCGTGAATAGACCTACTTTCTTTGATATCTTTACAAAGGACGCCGGTCGCGGTGTGCCTGAAATCATCATCTTAGATCCGCAGGTAAAAAATGATGTCTCTTAATAGCATAGCGATCTATGGACGTCTTATGGACGTTCTGCCAGTTAAACGTCTTTAGAACGTCGTGTTATAATTCAGATTTATATTCTCTATAGTCTGTTATTAGTCTTATATTAGATATTAAATTATATAATTATAATGAATCTTACTATTTCATTAAAATATCTTTATATGTGATTTTATTACAGGGTAACAAAACCACGGTAAAGTTGCGTCAGACCTCGCCAGACGTCTGGAGATGCGAGTACGTATCGCCAGTGACGGGTCTACATTCCGTCAATATATTCTTTGCCGGCAAACCTATACCCAGAAGTCCCATTGGTGTCAATATTGCACCAGTTTCCGATGCGAAAAAATGCAGAGCGTACGGACGAGGGTTGCTGCCTACTGGCGTCCGCGTCCAGGACATCGCCGACTTCGTTGTCCTCACTAAGGACGCTGGTGAGGGTGTACCAGACATTCGCGTAATCGGTCCGGGAGGCGTCAATCAACCAATACGGTAAGTTCTTATTATTTTAGTTTCTACACTGAAAACACTTTGTTACTTTTAAGATTTCATTTCTTCATTTATGTCACATTTGTTGTTTTTATATTTTATTATTTTCATATAACTTTTTATATATTAATGAGAAAAATCAAACATGAATGAAAAGAAAACGCTATATTTCATTAAAACGTTAATAGACAAAACTCAATTGTCAAGAACTGTAAGAATTGTAAATGAAATTATAAAAATTTTGTTTATTCAAATTTGTAAAACAAAAAAAAATATAAAATAGAGTAAATATGTTAGAATATTTTGTGCGAAATGTTTTGCTTTAAATTTAATTATCGATTTAATCAACGACATTGAATTACTTTAGAATGTCCAAAACCGACGCTACGACTTACAAATGCCACTACACACCGGTTAAGGAAGGCCGTCATGTAGTAATGATCACATATGGCGGTAAAGAGATTCCCAAGTCGCCCTTTGAGGTCAATGTAGGTCCTTATAAGGAATCCAACATCAAGGCTTTTGGACCAGGTCTGCACACCGGCGTCGTCGGCCATCCAGCGAAATTTACAGTAAACACAAACGGTGAGACCGGCGCCCTTGGTTTCTCCATTGAAGGCCCGTCCAAAGCGAAGATAGAATGCAACGATAATGGCGATGACCCCGCCGATGTTTCTTACCTGCCCACCGCGCCGGGCCAATACGCGGTCCATATCCTCTGCGATAACGAGGACATCCCTAAATCGCCTTATATCGCGACTATTTTGCCGAAGACCGACTTTGATCCAGAGAAGGTAAATTCGAGTCTTCATTTCACTATTAACATTTCTTTGTATATAACCTTTTTTTATATAAACCTTTTTTAATATAAATTTTAATTAAAAATCTGAAATTTACATGGATAATACTTGACAACTTCTAGTCTTTTTCCACATAATTCCCGTCAATCTCAATACATTTTGTATACCTGGAAACGAGCTTCGAAATTCCTTCCGCATAGAAACTTCCCACCACTTCTTTAGTCCAATTGTCTGAACTTCCTTGTCGCTCTGGAAGCGTGACTATAGATTTAAGGAAGCCATTTCCCTCATCCCTGTAACGGTCCAAAAATTCTTTACCTGTAGTCACTCGTGTGGCCTTGTGTAGAGGAGTCAGTTCTCTGGGAACCCAACGGGCGCAAACCTTGCGAAATTCAAGTTTTTCTGAAACGATCTCATGGATAAGACTTCGGGATACCTCTGGAAAAAGGTTGTGGAGTTCATCTAAAGTTAAACGACGATCACTGCGAATCGCGTTTTCAATTTTTGTCGTCAACTCATCCGTGATTAGTGAGTGTCTGCCTCTCCCACTTTCGTCTTCAAGCGAATGTCTTCCTGCCTTAAATTCTCGGACCCATCTCCGCACCATAGATTCACTCATCACACTCTCTCCATATACAGAAACAAGCTGTTTGTGAATATCAACCGATTTAAAATTTTGAGCAAAAAGAAACTGAATGATGCCGCGCAAAACAACTCGAGAAGGAATCGGAATGGAGGTGGCGGGACGCGAAGTGGAGGACTCCATTTTGATAACCTCTCCTGACCGTGTTTCACGACCTATTGACGCCAAACACCGCTCATTCTATTCGGTAACTTCCCCTCTTCAATGCTGTGTTGCCAGCTCGCTCATACATCGACCTTACTAAGCGTAAAATACAAACGGAACTTATTTTTTGGATACCCCTCGTATGTGTGTATTTTTTTGTTGGGATGTTTTATATATAATAATAAAAAACATAAGATTTTACAGATTTTTACATGCAATTTAGTACTAATTAAATAAATGATAATTGCTTTTATTGACTTGGGCAATACAAGAAAGATATCGAATATGCTTCGTATATAGGTTGAAGTTTATGGACCAGGAATTCAGCCAGAAGGTGTTGCCAAAGACGAACCGACGAATTTTACGATTGATGCGAGAGAAGCTGGTCAGGCGGCTTTAGAAGTTGCCATTCAAGATGCTCTTGGAAAAGAAGTTCCTCTTAGATTAGGCGACAACCGGAACGGCACTGTTCAAGCGCATTACACACCTATTTCCAGCTCCCCGCATGTTGTGATGGTACAATTCTAGAATATTGATTTCTAAAATCTTGAATCGAACTTTTGCTGTTTATTGTTTGTAACGATTCCTTGAAACATGCTGTTTTTGAATAGCCAGGAAAGATTAAAGTAGTCAGGGTGAATTTTTTTAACAAAATAAAATCAGTTCTAGTCAAATTAAAATAAATACATAAAATATTGTATAAAATGTTGTTAAGATCAGCTATGAGGTTTACGTTTTCGCAAATCTTGTAACTTAAAAAAAAATGTCCGTAGAAACCTCAAAAGTATTATGTTAAAATATTCAGTAAAAGCATGACTGATAAAGTCAAGTTTTCAATTTAATTCGATTTCTTAAACAGTGTTATGCAAGGTGCTTTGTTTTTCGCACCTATAAGGTACAAATATACTTTGAAAAAAATATATCATGATACAGGTACAAGTATTAGAAATAAAATACCTAAGTATAGGTATTTTATCTAGTATCTCAAATGTATCTAGAGAGAGAGAAAGGTACAAGTACTTTTATTTTACTGTTAACATAAAACTTCATAATAAATAGGTATTTATGGTTTCATGTATTTCATGCACATAACATTTATGTATTATATATGCATTTTATATGTATATGTGTGTGCATAAATATTCTATGCGAGTAAGTTTAACATGTCCGCGTGTTGAACGCGCACTTAGTACAGGAAAGAGTATTATTTAAAAAGTAACTAAACTGTACTTAAATATAGATACCGGTACACAAAAATTGTATCTATTTATTGGTATAGGTACTAGAAAAAAGAAGTATCTCTACTGCATAACATTGTTCTTAAAGATATCTTTTTCTTCAGGTGAATTATGGTGGAGTGGCCACGAAGAAATCTCCATACAGAGTTAAGATAGCTTCACCCTTGAATCCTGCTATGGTTTCCGCCTTTGGCCCCGGTCTTGAGAAAGGTGTGAAATCGAACGTTCCCACACATTTCAACGTCGACTGTCGCGAGGCTGGCCCCGGTAAATTGGACGTTAAAATGCTGAATCCTGAAGGCCGGGAACTTCCAATTTCGTTAACGGATAATGAGGATGGCACGTACGTCGTGGACTACATGCCCCCACAGCCAGGAAATTATACGGTGAATCTCAACTATGGCGGATTGAAGGTACCTCAGTGCCCCATTAAGGTCAACGTTCAGCCTCATGTGGATGTGTCCAAGATTAAAGTGGACGGTCTGGCACCAAGTGAGTACAATTATTGAAAATTTTTTAAGTGTTGCCTAATATTTCGATTACTGTACGCTATCGGTTTATTTAAAATCAGATTTAATCAGATGTGTTACTAATCATATTATATATACTCAAACCAAGATATATGCAGCATTTTGTCCCAAGAAATTGGAACAATGGTTGAATGACTCTTAAACGTAATATTGCAGCGTTTAAAATGATAGTAAACTTGATAGCGTGTTTTGATCAGTAGCCTTTTATTATTATTTTAATTTTATAATACATATTAAATAAAATATTATTTTATTTTTTTTAATTACTATAATATATTGATTTATAAATTAACTTAATTAATAATGCAATTCGAGTACATACATAGTGTACTATCTAAATTCTTTGGAGTGAATCTCACTCCAAAGAAGTGAAAATTTAGCTACTTTTTTCAAGAATGGTAAAATTTTCACTCTTTTGGAGTGAGATTTCACTCCAAAGGAATTAGGTTACTAAAAAGAAATAATCAAAGAGATCTATCGTTATATATCGTTATATATTGCATTATATATCTGGTTTGAGTGAAATAATTCTCTCATAGTAAAAATGTTATGTTTATTATATTTTTTAATTTAGTAACTTATTAAGCGCGATTAGAGAAGGATTAATAAGAGTGCAATTAATTTCATGATTGAAATAAGATCTTGCACTTAGGTAGGTGTATCAGCAATGCATTAGTTTGAAAATGAATCGTGCCAAAATCGCGCTCCTTCCAGCGGTCATTGAGAAGATAATTCTCGTCTCATGGCAATGGCTGATATTCTTTTCGGGAACATTTCCCGGGGCGTTACCGTGATACGTGTATCTAGCCTAGATTTTCGAAATACACGTTACCAAGGTCTCCCCTCGGATAGATGTTTTGCTGGAGCGCGAACCGATTTATTTATAACGGCGCTCGCGAATTCCCCACATTTAACACGCACACAATTTCGCGTTTCATCTAAAAATATTGCACTTCGGTGCTCCACGCAACTCCATTGCTCCTTCGATGTGACCTGGAAGGAAGGCAGCTCCTAACATTGAGCGTGTCACGATAAAATTCGGAGCGAATAGCAATGCGTCCAAGAAATATCAATATACATTTCTATAATACTAAATAATCAATAATGAGTTAGAAACAAGATTATCATATGCTCTCTAAATTCTTTGGAGTGGAATTTTACTCTAAAGAGTCAATTGAGCCAATTGTGAAAAAGAGTGGCTCAATTTTCAATCTTTAAGAATGAGATTTTACTCTCTGGAGTGACAGTTCATTCTAAAAATTTTAGAAAGTAAATAAATCGACAAAGTAAGAGAGAGAAAGAGAGAGAAAGAAAAGTGCCACTTACAATCAAAGTCGGATGTTGGAATAATAAATATGTATTTAAATAAATTTTATCACAATGCCGATTACTTTTCGGATTTGCAACGTAATCAGACTGACGTAATAATAATCTCCCTTTTCAATGCTAGCATTTTAAAATCTGTAAAAAACAAATAATTATTTTTGCACGCTGGATAATATATTCATTGTAACCGAATGCATTTTTAACTAAGACACGTTATCAGTTTCGTAATCGGGAGATCCTTTTATTTGGAATACGCTCTGCCTAATTACACGCGCATTGTGGGCTTATGTATGTAGCAAGTGGCTTTCTCTCACAACTTGATGCATATCCAGTATTTGAAATCTAACGTTATGGTAGGCTTTGCGCAATGAATGTCCGGCCGTACTTGCTGGTGAGTGTTGATTGTAAACTACATGTTACTTGTCTTTATTAATTAATCGTGCAAATCTCTCGATCCTGCTTACACGTTTAGTTCATTCCCTAAATTTTTTGGAGTAGAATATCATTTTTGAAGAGTGAAATTTTACTCTTCAAAGTGACAATTTAGTCAACAAGTTTTAGAGAGTATTATTCAATTTTTCTTCAATCGTCCCTTCGACGAGAATCAACGATAATTTCACTAGCAAGTCGGCGCGACGTCCGTTCGCTGCTCACGGGCAGTCGTCCCGTCGCGCAAGCACAAGCGAAAAATGCATCGCGGCTCACCACGAGAACCCGCAAACGTCCTCGCAGCGGCCCCGGTGAACAGCCTGCAGCAATTCCGCGTGATAACGCAGGAGGCGGGCAGGGCGGCGGACTTCCAGGTGGCGATCACGACTCCGTCCGGTAATCGGGTCAAGGCGCACGTGGTGCCGACTCACGAGGGCTACCTGGTTAACTTTACCCCTACCGAGCTAGGCGAGTATCTGCTGGGAATCAGCTTCGGCGGCGAGCCAATCTCGAATCAGCCGTACCGGCTGACCTGCGTCCATGGCTCCGATCCGGGCAAGGTGCGCGCTTCGGGACCTGGTCTCTCCCACGGTGTGGTGAACAAGCCGGCCGAGTTCGTGATCGACACGCGTGGAGCTGGCCAAGGTGGTCTCGGCGTGACCGTCGAGGGTCCTTGCGAAGCCGCGATAAATTGCAGGGACAACGGTGATGGCACCTGCTCCGTCGCTTATCTGCCTACTGAGACCGGCGACTATGGTATCAACATCACCTTCAACGAACAACACGTGCCGGGCTCGCCTTTCCAGGCCATTGTCGTACCGGACGCGGACCTATCCAAAATCAGAGTCAGCGGAAACGGCATCCAGCCACACGGTACCGTTGGACGTCAGCACGGAGATCGTTTTGCAATTGGAAATTGAGAGAGTGCTGTGACCTGCTAGTCTCTAATTTGCGTGATGAGTTATGTAACGTGTCTCGGGATTTTGTAGGAATGGCTTTAAACGATTGTTTCTCGATCGTCGAGATTTCGTATTGACTTTCAAGGAACATATACACATTAGATATTCGTGCATATAAAATGAATTTTTCAAGTTGCACGAATATTGTGATTTGACCTTGAGAAAAATTCGTTGCGACTACGACGAGGATAATATTTTTATAGAAAAGATTAGAAAGTCCCGATAATTATTCTGAGACGCGTTGATGTTGCGATGCATGTATCTCATGATTGCACTTTTATCGTTGGTTATCGTGATATTCCCTGCTTTGGATTTTCCGATCGTAACCATATTTTAACATACACACTTGTTGTAAGACACTTGAATGAGCTTGAAAAATACTAGAGGGCATGTTTGTAAAAAGTATGTACGAAACAATAATTTAAGTTTATTTCTTTCTACGAGCATGACCTCATTTTCAGTTTAAAATCCAATATGCCACATATAAAATAATAATCTTATATGTTATTGTGATTTGTTCTGTGTTAATCATTTAGGAACTGCAATTACGTTTTATGTACTTTGCAATATGCGCTTATGCATTTTCATTTTAATAAATAATTTATTAAATTAGGTACTACGTATTGTTTAAAACAAGTAGACGTTTAATTAAATCACAAAAACGATATATTAGGAACATAATATTGTAGAAATATATTTGAAAATTATACATCTATTATAAATTTATTACGACGTATTAGTAATATAAAAATATTTTGATAAATTTAATATTAAAGTTTATTAAAGATATGTACAATTTTATATTACTATTTTATGTCAAATTTCAATCTGTTAAAAAATTACGCAAAATTTAAAATACAAGACTATAAATATATATCTTCGCTATTACAAAATTCGACTTTGAAGAAATCTACAGTTTCTGCATTAAAAGAACAGTTTTTCTGAAGTATCTAAAACTTTAGTTAGATACAGGTCTAAAAATAATTTTATATATTGGACCATCAAAATAATTATAAAATTATAAAACTATAAAATAATTATAAAACACTCAAGTTTGTTGCTGGAATGTCAAAATTTTTTGCAGCATTGCTCATCATTCTTAAGCACCCTATACCATTATTTTCCAACAAAGTTATTTTCAGATCTGCATTTAGCTAAATTTTTAAATACTTTAGTCTTTCTATATATGATATTATAAAAATACTTCACTACATCATCACGTATCAATCTCGAATTTTTACGCATGAAACAAATATATAATTTAAGATATATAATTTTTTAGAATGACAAAGTTTAATTAAAAAAAAAACTACTATTTTGATATGTGTATATTAGATATGTGCATTTATTAAAAAAACAAAACATTTGAGCCTTTTTACTTAATCATGTCTTGTTATCGCGTTTTACAGGATTATTCGTGAACAAACAAACGACATTCACGATAGACGCGAGAGATATCACCAAGTCGAAGACTGACGACGGTAAGGTATCCTGTATCATAAATAATCCCAGTGGCGGTAAAACCGAGAAGCTCATCATCCCCCAGGGTGATGGCACCTACTGCGTCAGTTACACACCTTTCGAGGAGGGTTATTACACCATCGACATTCTCTACGACAACGTGCCCATCCCAGGTTCACCATTTTCTGTCAACGTGCAACGCACCTCCGATCCCAGCAAGTGCCGTGCGTATGGTCCTGGTTTGGAGCAAGGCGTCACGGAAAAAACGAACTATTTTACGGTGGAGACCGAAGGTCTGTAAGCCAATATAATTCGATCAACAAATTCTTAAAATGCTGTAATTTTATACTACCTACAAATTGTATAATTTAAAACATAATAATTATCACATAGAAGATGGGAAATATTTTCATGTAGCGAAGGTAGGAAGAAATAGCATGTATGCGATCTTCTTTCAGGGGCTGGCAATGGTGGTTTGGGTGTGTCGATTACGGGTGACGGAGAGGTCAGTGCGGAAGCCAGGGAAAAATGGGATGGTTCCTGCGATGTCGAATACGTTACCAGCGAACCTGGTGACTACGAGATCGACATTAAATTTGCTGAACAGAGTATACCCGGTTCGCCATTCAAGATCAAAGTGATATCGCCGAAAAAGGATGTGATCGCTTACGGACCCGGTCTGCACATGGTACGCGAAGGTGTGCCCGCCAAGTTCACGGTGGACGCGTCAAAATGCATAGAGGCACCGGTGAAAGTACGTCTGTCGCCTGACATGGGGCAGCAGCCGCAGGTCAAGAGTAAAGGTGATGGCCTGTACGAGGTGACGTATCAGCCACCGCCTGCTGGAAATAACATACGACTTGATGTTACTTTCGACGACGAGTACATCAATGGCAGTCCATTCGAAGTGAAAGTTCTGCCCTTCGTAGAGCCAAACAAGGTAACTTTGTCGGGTCCCGGGGTGTCGCCCTTTTGTACTGCCTCCTTCCCGATTGACTTCATTGTGGACACTTCTAATGCTGGATACGGCGATCTTGAAGTGCAAGTTGTGGTAAGTGTAACAAGGTTTCGCAAAGTGTTTTGTATCAACTACTTGACTCTCATTGCCAATTTATTTCTTTCTATTTCTATTTTGTATCAAGCGTTTAATATTCTATATTTACATATTTCATTTGGAATGATAAACAAAAATTTATGTTTTTTTTTTAAATAGCCTTATTAATATTATTAAAAATAATAATTCATTTTTTTCAGATATAAAATGTTCTAGCGAATATTGTTGCGTATCAAGACTATCAAGAATAAAACACAATTAAATTACAGATTGTAAAACTTTTTTCTACATTAATTTTTTTTAATACAATAATTTTGGAAGCCTACAATAGATCATGGATACTGGTGAAACTATTATAACAAAGGAATTATCCGACAACTTGAATTTTTATTAAATAATATCTTATTGACAAAAACAAAGACGTTGAATATTCTAAATGAAGTAATAATCATCTTTTTAGAATTCAATTACTTTTACAGAAATTCAATTACTTTCATTTTTAATCATGACAAAAGAGTCTTCAAGATATAATAATTTTATTTTTTTACATTCGCGTACAGTATCGGTGATACAACAAAAGTGTTCGGTAAATTTATTTTATAAAATATTTATATTATTATACACTTATGAAAATATATATGCATGTATTAAATTGGCAATTAAAATTGATTTGACCTTTATATCTGGACATATTTGAACTTTATAATTATTAATATTTAAAGTTATTTATGTAATTACATAATCTAACAGAAAAATTAGATGTTCATTAATTTGCATTAATATATGTGCAAAATAAGAAAAGGTATAAAGATTATACAAGACTAAGCTATTCCTTTCAAATTGTAATAAAATGCGTGATGAAAAAACACATCAAGATGTAGAAGATACTAGATGCGTTCAAGAGCTAGCAAAACGGCTAACCTGCTCGCCGAGCAATTGAACATAATTGGTTCTTTCTTAGATAGATTCCATCAATTACATTCAACTACTCGGCAAACAGTTTAGCTGCTTTGTCTGATTTAAATGTACTGTGTAGAATGTTTTCAATATCACCAATTACCTATTTGATCTATTATATTTTCGTACCTTGATAACTTGTCCAAATTGTCTCTATACTAGTTATATGTATATACATCAATTAAAACTTTCGTTTTTGCCAATCATCATAGCAGTCAATTGTATTTATTATTATATTAAATTTGAACGCAAATATAATCAGTGTCGTACGTGGCTATAACGATCGTAACGAGCAATATAGGTAATTCTAAGAATTACAATTCAATTTGATTGCTCTTATAAAAATGATTTATGTTGATCTATATACCAAGTGACTCGCGAATAATCGAACAAGTTATGTATGAGCAATCGCGTTCTCATATTATTTTCGCAATTAATGTCTTCCTAAATTCCTCTTTCAGGGACCAGATCAAGTGCCGCGTAAGGTAGTAGTGCAAGATCTCGGCGACGGAAAGTACAAAGCAACCTATCTGCCGGACGACTGCGGTCGTTACAAGGTCAACGTAAAATATGGCGGTAAGGAAGTGCCAAACAGCCCAGTGACTGTGCAGAGCACATCCATCGGCTCGGCGAACAATTGTAAAATCAAAGAAGGCATTCAGCACACTTTGGCTCAGGGCGAGGAGTACTGCATTACCGTGGACACTGAAAATGCAGGTCGCGGTGCAGTGACCTGCCGCATCCGCTCCACTACCGGAAGGTGAGCATCCGCGTGATTCGCTCCGATTTAAATTTGACTATTTTAGAGAATATGAATCAGAGAGAAGGGATACTGCGGGAACCTTTAAAATTTATTCTCGTAGTTACCAAAACGTTCTCATATTCGTCTTTCTTTTAAAATCTGAGATTTAATTTGTCATCGTGTATATATAAAACACAAATATTCTTTAATTTTGTTATCATTTATAGTTAGAATATGTTTAAGAAATATTTCTTTTTAGAAAAATATAAGAAAAAATATATAAAAAAGAAATTATGGATACTATATGTGTTAATTGATTAGAAATATTTTATCTCTCTCTCTCTCTCTCTTTGACTTAACTTTATTTGGTCTATGCAGCTTTAATATTTTTTTTTATTATGTAATTATGCCTTTATTCATTTATTTCTATAAGAAATACTAACTAATGAACAAATTTTAATCCTTTCATGCTTTCTATTAAATTTCTCGCAAAATCTTTTGTAGTTCTCAATAATAATCTTTACACGTTATAACTTTTATACCTAACTAATCTTAGAATATATGTATATAATCTTAGAATATACATGAAGGCGAATCATATTTTTACACTTTCTTCGAATTTATATCTTTCGATCTTCAAATTTCCAGACAAAAATTCCATCTTATTTTAAATTTAAATACGTCGCGCCGTCGCAACTTACTTATTTTTAATTTATAGACGAACTTGAGAAAGATATATCTTACTGCTATTTTTCTCGATGTATAAATATTGAAGAATTGATTATAATAAATTATTATTTCATTCTTCTGTAATATCATATTATATGTTTCTTATACACAAAATTTATATTATTACATTTTATATTTTTTTTATAATTATTTAATTTATTTTACAAATTCTAATTATCATAAATTACTTTTCTGAATAAATAGTGCATATACACTTCTTGATATATGTATTGTTTGCAATTAAATAATAAGGATTGCTATAATTAACAAATAGTACCGACTAGTAAACAAATTAAAAAAACAAATAAGCATAAACAATAAAGACGTGTTACATTTTGCTGACTTACAATCGTATATTGGGATTAGATCTGGAGTGTAAAGGCATGACTAATCGGCCGTAAATCGTGTAACAAATCCGGTAGGAATCAGGATCGTGGCACGTTGCCATGGTGAACGTCATGTACGAGGTGATAATAAGTGGATCGTCGTGAATCTTCGGCCAGTCGCACACAGTGACTACGCCGAGATTGCCGACTACCATATCTAACATTGAAATTAAATGTCGGTTTGGTTTAATTTGAAAGCGAAATATACTTTTAATAAAACTTGGCGTCGACAGCAGACGAGTCAAGAGGAATGATTATTTAGGAAACAGGATTGATTTCACGACGATATGTATAGATATATATTTTTCAGCAATGATGCTCCATTGCTATTCGAAATGAGAAAATTATTTTTGTGCAATATTCGCGTCTTTCGAAGTTACACTAAAAAATATTAAATTTTAATAAATATTTGTTTGAATAGTTCTAAATATTTACTATAAATATATATTTATTTGACACAAAAGTCATTAATTTGGTTCAATTATCATTTGTTTTATTGAGTAAATATCTATTTATTGTAAGTAAATATTTATTTAATACTATTTAAAGAGAAATATGTATTAAAATTGATTTAGTAAATTTTTTTTCAGTGTAATTATGTATATACTCATATCATGCGTTGCAATTGGATTAGCGCCAGATTAATAAATTATATAACGTTGTACATACTTTTCTAATTGTCACAACTGATGCCAGACTATAGATCACTTTACATGTTCTCTTTAACCACATTGGCTAATTTCGCAGTAAAACTTTGTTTCAGAACATTTGTTCGTCCATTTGTTTTATGATGACAGTTGAGTTGGATTCGAATTAAATTTAAGGGGGCAGTCCTATGAATTTGTCGAAAAAAATCGATTTTTTTAATATTCTTAAAGATATATGTTTCAAGAATGCCCAATTAAAATTTCATGTAAAAATTCCGAAAATTAACGAAGTTATGAGGAGTTAAAGGGGTTCGCTATCTCGGCCGCCGGCCTACTATAAACCGGTCCCCTACCGCTCAGTCAGTGGCTACGTTTACACCGTGCGCTTAGTCCGCGACCTATACGATATGTGTCTTTGTTTAACCTACAGGATAAAGACCTACAGGAAACACAGAAGGACTCCTTTACGGTCCTGGCATCGTTGATTGAACGTAAGTCGTATAAAAGTGTTTCTTACCTCACAAAAACCACTCCTCAAACTTCAAACGTGTTTTTCTCAAAACGATTTTTTCAAACTCGGCGAGCAGTGTATCTCGAAAACTTATTATCCGATTAAGATGAAATTTAGAGGGAATTTTCAAAACATATTACTGCATGGAATGAACCTATAAAAATTTTAATTTTTTTCAATTAACGATTTTTTATGCACTTCCAAAGACAAAAAAAGATAAAAAATGATACTGTTTATTTATCACCGTGTAATTTCTATAATTTTGAGTTTTAACTTCTGAGGATGGTCCATTCCACGGAATACAGTGTCCTGAATAACATATTTTTTTTATTTTTTATTTCAGACAAAATGACAGAGAGTTATCGTGCCCACCAGATGGACACTTTCTTTCAAGTACCACGAATGTTTTTATTTATATCTTCACAAATAAATGTTTTTAAGAAATATTGCGACTAGTGTACTTTCATTTATATATACTCGAACAACCCTAAAAATTTCAATAAAATCCTTTTATAACTTTCGTTAGAAAAAATTCGCGAAAATCGTCCAATTTTCGACCCGATTGATAGGACTGCCCCCTTAACTCCACAGTGTTATTTGACGCATAGCTGTTCAGCAAAAATTTTCTAATATATTGAAAAGAATTGCAAGATATTACTCAAATATATTACACTCTTCGTGCCACATTTATACGAAAATACCTAAATATCAGAAAAAATATCTAAGAAATTAACAAAGTTTAAGATATGATTTTGATTACATTACTGTGACACACAATTAAGTAATAAATGATATATCAGAAAAATAATTATATCACTTTAAGACTACTTTTTAAATTTTTTTATAATCAAGAGAGTTTGCTTGTTACAATGTAGAGATGGATGTTATAATGCCATGCATCTTCGCGATTATGTCCTTCGTGAATATTTCGGGATTTCTAAAGAGCACGTGCATTTTCTATCTTACATATCGCGTGCTTTTATGCGTAATCGGGCGCGTGCCCTCCAAAAGATTGTCACTACTCTAATCAATTCGACTATAAATGCATTCTGAATGCTGACAGTGGTGTACACAGCTGCTACCTCATAATTCATCTATGATATTCCGTGTTGCTCGAGTTGGCAGTGAGTGTCTTCTGTCGAAAAGACACTTTAAAATGAGCCAAATTCTTTATCCCAAGTGTATAAAGTGACAAGATGTCACGTTATACATATATGTCTGGTATTTCCTATAATGAACACAATTTTACAATTATAGTATATTTTACACGACTGTATCTTATAACAGTTAATAATAATTTACAGTTTAATGCAGCACGCGAAAATATCATATAAATGTAATTTATCATCCAATTTTATTTTGTACATTCTACGAATGTTGGTTTTTATAAAAAATAAGATTTTTTTTATGGAGAGGAAAAGTGTTCAGATATAATCATGCGATCTAGATGTCACAAAAACATTTTTTTCTCATTAGAACTTTAAAATATTATTTTATATTACTGTGATTAACCCATTTTTCATTGCTATAGACACACGGATGTAAAATTTAAATTTAGTTTTCATTACGAAAAAAGAATTTTTAAAGAAAAGGCTTTTCTTAAGTTTCTTACTTTAGATTAAAAAATCTAAATAATTGAGAATGGAATCGCGTGAAAGCATTTAGTATTTACATAACTTATTGCTGAATGAAGTTGCAGTGGCGTTATGAAAATATGCGGCATGCATGAACATTTCTTGAATGGATCTCCGTTCTATATTTCAATCTGTGAATAATGCGTCTCGGTTTGTGATTTCAGTGAAGTCGTTGACATTGACATAGAAGACAACGGCGATGGTACAGTCAACATTTACTATACTGTTGCTGATGCGGGAGACTACACCCTTAGCATTAAATTTGGTGGTCAACCGGTGCCTGATGGATTCTATACCTTCACAGTGAGCAATTACAATATTTTATAATCTATCTCGCGAAATCATTATCCTTTTACATTTGTTTGCACAAAATTAATATAAAAAACTATAATAATGTTTGAAGTTTTTACGAAATTCTTTACTCAGCAACGTACATTTTATAATCAATAATAAAAAATTAATTAAAAGTTAAAATTTCTATAACTAAAATAATTTTTTGAAACTTTCTTGAAAATTGTTTGAAAGTTTCTAAAACGATTTAAATACAATTTTTATATATTCTTGTTAACTTTTTAAATTAAATTAATTGCTATTTTAAATCGTATGTATTATATTAAAGAAATTCTTGAATTTCCTTCATATGTATTTATGGTGTAAAATGTTTCGGCAAATATGCCAAGTCCGTCTAGTAAAATATAAAATAATTACAAGGAGTTAGATCGTAAAACGCTAATAAAATTATCGCATCTTAATATTATTTAGTGTTTCCAAAATTCTTTTTATGAAAACAATAACGTATGATGAATACAAATTTAGAAATCAATTTTTAAATTAATGTCTAAAAATATACTAATATTTTTGTAATCAATCAATAAGTTTTTACACAAGATCTAAGAATGAAATAAGGGATGCGTTTTGTAATTTCGTTTTTAAATATTTTCTCTTGTGAATCGGTTCATTTTGAAAAGTCGTAAGACAAAGGGTGATGATACGTGAAGTTTCCTCGTAATCGTCTTCCCGATGTCGATCCGGATGCCCGGTGCTCTCGTCGACGACGAGCCCCGGGTGGGTGGGGCGCGAGGTGTATCTAACTATAGAGGCAACACGTAGTGCAGGATATTGTCGCGTAGTCTCCAGTGAAACAGTCCACTGCGAAGACTCATCGGGATCGCATCCGCCGGCTCGTTATCGCACAAATCCTCGCATATCATCACATGGACCGCCCATCATCACACGTCGCGCCGTAACACGAATTCCGTTCCAAGTAACACACACATGCATACATCTTTATCTCTCGCTATATCTTCTCTATCTTTGCACATCCCTTCCCATCTTACAGATCAACTGTGTGTATGTGTATGCATGTGCATCTGTGCGCACGCGTGTGAGTGCTGCCGTCATCAAGTGGTCCAGAGTGCCTCCGATCGCAAATGCTGGAACGCCATTAACCTGCTAAAAGTGGAGAGTCACGAAGAACTTTTATTAATCCACATAATGTTTAACCAAAAACTATCTAATCTAATTCAGTAAACATCGGAAACTTTTTCTTTCGAAATATGAACATTTCATAATTTAGATTAATTTGGTTAAATAATAATCCCATACAGAGAGAGTACACTTTATCCCAGAGATCTTCGTGCGAACGTTCTCAAGACGTTGAGACATTTTCAGGATATCTTTCAGAACGGTTCTTGAAGATTTGTGCTATATGGAAATACAATCAGAAATACATTGTTTTACATTTTTTTTATCAATTCAATCTTTTCTACTAATGTTTTATAATAAATAAAAACGTAATTAAATATTATTTTTTAAATCTTTTTACTTAATTTTATTACGTATTTTTATCATGTATTAATACAAACAGATATGTATGGTCGGACATTATGCGTCTGTTTATTTAAGTCGGATGACTTTCTTCACTGATTATCAGTTGGGAAAAACTTACATACAGAATATACGATATCAGATATCTTTCTTTCTAAGTAAAGATCGTTGAAAAATTTTTTTTTCTACTTTCTCTTATATTTTCCATCTTCATCTTTATCAAATTTGACTTGTCGTTGGTTTGCTTTGCTTTGAAATCTAATTATCTCGACGCTAAGAGAAATGCAATGAGTTGGAACACGATCTATGTCGGTGATATAAATGCTCGCATATTCGCGCGGCCGTCATGTCGTTTTGTGACACCTGCTCAATTAACTCACTAAACTTCAATGCTTGAGAAGTGTCAATTGTTTCAAGATACATGATTTTCATTTTTTAGGTCATGTAGCTTAAAGTGCTATTTTCAATTTTACATACTTTGTTATAAATATATGTATAGTCAACCACATTCTGTTTCCAACAGTCAATAGAATAGTTTGAGAAATCACAAGTTATTTCTTAAAAATTTTATTAATCGTTACATTTTATTATTTGATATATAATTTCAATAATAATTTTACGCTTCTTTCTAAATCATTTATTTGTTCTTTTTTCGCGTCTTTTTATTACACACGCATCTCTTCTCTGGAAATAAAAAATAATATTTTAATAAATATTTTAAAATTAGGAAAACGTAAAATAAATTGTTTACTTTACGATTCACGATTCATGGAAATAGTTTAAGACAACACGTTTAAGACAAAATTATTTTACGTCAAGAGAAATTTGAATTGCACAGTAAAGTGACAGGTCGCGTCACGCGTCATAATTCTTCGCGACTGTTGCACATAAATAATATTCAGAAATGTACAACGTGTTTAGTGATCGATCTATTGTCTAATAAGATGACATCTGGTAAGATGTCTATATTCTTGGAATATATTAATCATATTCTCCATATTAAAGCTACGATCCATTTTGAAATCCAATACGTATCTCGATGCCGTCCATCCTCCACTGAGAGCTCCTAGACTATTTCGAGTGCGAGTCAAGCTTTCCCAAATTTATAATCAGAAACGGAGTGGGTGGCCAAGAGAGACGGGGGAGTGAATTAATACCGTGAGTTAAATTAAACCCCGTGCCACGATTTACAACGGTGACTTTGTGCGACACATTCCTGTTGACGGCTGGCGCCGACGTTTGCCATTATTTCTCGTTTTGCAGGATTCTGAAATAATTGTCGTAAAAATTTTCGCATTTTTTATTCATTTATAAATGAAAATCGGTGCTTTATTTTTCATATTTTTTTATACAATCAATTTTGTCAAAAAATACAATAATAAGGAATTCTCTTATATATAATAGGTCACGATTTAAAAAATGATGCACATCCAAGAGAGAGCTGCATAAATAATTTCAGATTTATAGGGCATTAAGAAAACCGTGAATCTCTTACTTTAATGTTAGTTTAATATAGCTAAACTAGTCGTAATATAGCTAAACAAAAACATGGCATTATATTTGGGATTTATCCAAATTTACTGTTGTTCTGCATGCATATTACGATAGCGGATCTGAGATTTCAACTTTGTATGATGTATGTAAAATATTGCAGACTGTGTTATCAATTTTAATAATTTTATATATTGTTATTTAATAGTAAACATTTAATTAAGTATATTTAAAGTATTGACATTTTATTTGCTATATATATTTCGATTATATCGAATTGTATGATTTAATTATACTATCTATTACTCTATATTACATTGAGTCGTAAATTTCCCATTTTGAAGAAGTCCAGAAATATAATATCACACAGATTATTAAAAAATCAATTTTCTATAATAGTCTTCAATGATCAACGAATTGATTTATAGATTTATAGACTACAGCGCAATTCACATTATGCTTTGTACTCTTAATTCTTTTGTAATGTGTACGAGTGGGGGCTGGGCATCTATTATAGTACATGAAATTCAGCATTGTGCGCGGAATTACTACTTGGATAGCAGAGAAGCGCGAGTTTCGTGTCGGCCACCGACGTAGCTGGGCGTTTTCTCGTTAATCGGTGAAGCCGATGCCTGATAGTTAGTTATTAGATACGCGAATTCACAACCAATCAATCTCATTCCTTATAAAGAGAGAGGGAAGGCCCGTGGATCTCTAGGAGGCTTAGAGTATGGCGCTGGTTTTGTGTCGATCGCAATCGTTTGCGGACTGAGTGAGTGATACGAGAGATCAGTCATCGCGACAAACTATCAATTGAATAAGAAATGACACTGATTTGAGCGAATAGTTGACAGAATAATAACGTCTCATTTTTTATAAATTAATTAATTTTCTTTGCAATTTATCCAAATTAATAATAGTAATATACAGCAGTGATGCGCAACCTGCGGCCCGCGAGTCGCATATGGCTTACTTGTGAATTTCTTGTGGCCCGCCGGTTCATAGCCGAAAATATAAAATTATATTTTTTATTTTATGCAAATAAAATAAACATTATGTAGCCCGCAAGATTTTACTTATTTCTGAAAAAAAATGTTCTTTGAAAATAATCCTTAAAAATAGGGTTGCGCGTCATTAATATACAGTATTGAATAAATTTAAAAAATGCTTTAACATATCTTTTACTTTTGTAGAATTTAAAAAAAAATCAAAAGAGGGAAATAGCGAAACGTTATATATGTCGGTGTATAATATCTAATCCAAGATGATTAAATAGGTTTTGGTATACTAGAATACTAGAATCCTTTTATTAGGATTTATAATTAAAAAATTTTGTTCTGAGCGTTCATATACACAAAGAAATAGAAATCTTATCATATGAAATTATAATCTCCTACCTTTATATATGTATAATTTATACAGAATCATGTATAAATTATATTTTTAAACAAATTTCAAAAATAGATTATTTAATTTCGCTATTTCTTTTATTTTATAATAATATTATTTTGATATATATCATCGTGTCGCATTTTGCACCATGAAAGCGACTATTTATGTATCACGTTCAGTATCTCCCCGAAAGCTAATTTTGGTTTCAGCTGCAATATTGCGTCTCGATGATCAACAGGCTTCGTATATATAATATTTCGTACCTCTTAATTGACAGCGGCACTTTACGGAATTCGATTGTCTTGAACAGATTCTTGCATATATATATAACTGAAAAGAATAAAATTTGTTTTCGTAAAATAATATATAATAAGATTTACAATTAATATATATAATATACGAGATATTAAACAATTTTGATATAATAAACAATATTACATTATTACGTATCTTGAAGAAAAACAATTTTTTCTCTCAAATTTTCTCTTTCCTAATTTAATAAATTTAATAATTGATATAGTTTTAAATTCATAATATAATATTGTTCTTTGACAGCATATGTTTATAGGCCATGAGAAAATATATAATTTCCAGAAATGTTTTCTATTTATTAAAGCTGTATTGATGTATTTAAACATTGTTTTTTTATTTTATAATTAAATCCATGATTTAAATATAAAATAATATTGCCGCAACAATATAATCAACTGAACTTAAATGTAACTTGTGATTTACAGCAGAACTAACCGCAGCGGAATCGTGATTGCTTTAATGCGAATTCATTATAGATGCAGGCTTCCTGTGATGATACGAATTTTGCAATAATTCGAACGTGGTTACATAATAAATTCTTTACACGCATCGTACTTTGGCTTGTGACCAGCATCGAAATACGTAGATTCTATCGTAATGAGATGTAACACCATCTCCCCTGATTTCGAAAATTCCTGCACTTCTTTTTCCTACAAAGATTTCGCAAGAATTTAATTCGCATTCTGTAAAAAAACAAAAGCTTTTTCTAATACTTGGCATTTCTCCAGCACCAAAATATCCATGCGATATCGCGATCCATTGTCTCCAGGAACACATCTTCACGTATAACTTAAAGAATACATTTAATGTCAATTATTCTATAGTAAACTGTTCCATCAAAAATTTATAATTATTTGTAGTCTAAAGTGTTTGACTACGACTGGCGAAAAGATATTGTAGATGTCAATGTTATTAACTTATTTTTCAATTTTAACAACATTTCAGGCATCCGAGGAATATCGGGAACATAGCACGCACAAAACTCAACGAGCTCGCAAAACACGGCAGAAACAAAATCAACACGTTGAGCAGCGCAGCACAACCCTACAGGAGAGCTCTACTGTCACTACAAAACGTAGCAGCCAGCAGGAGCTATCAAAAAAGAATTTTAACGTTATCCGATTGAACTCCATCCCACTACCTCTCCCGAGCGGTGGCACAGTTACTTGTAAGTGATATATTCCGCTTGTATTTCCAGAAAAAATTCTTAAAATTTTCATCCATTCTTTAAACTTTGCTTTACTATTTATTTCAAAATTTACCCAGTTTTTCTCATAGTTGTTGCTATATAATGATATAAGTTACGAGTGCGTTCTACGATTGGTTGGACATATAAAAATTAAAAATTAAAATATAAAATATAAAAATATAAAAATACAAATTAAATAAAATATAAAAATTACTACAGCATTTATCAGCAATTTAATGCTTATCTGTTTAATAGAAAGGTACGAAGTATTAAAGTGGTTTTTATTTATGGAAAAGCAGAGATTATTTTACGATTTTAATTTCAATGCACAGCAAGTGGGCATAGCTGTATGACTTAATAAAGTCTCATACTACTTCACCTAAAGATTATGAATATTATTTACGAACATTACTATACTAACAATACTATTAAGAACACTATTAAGAGACAATAATAATAAAACTTTTAATTAATTAAATCTCCTTAACTGCTATCGGGTAGAATTTGTAGGATTGTCTGACTTATTATTAGCTCACACTACTTCCTCACACAACTTCGAACGACGCAGTATTCTCTTATTTACTATAGCATAGATTGCGTTTTTTATATTCAACTCTTTTATTTAATTAATAATTATACAATAAGGATCTTATTATGACAAATATTTTTATTAATCTTTCGAAAATGGGTATTTTGGTAGATTTTTATTAATCTTTCAAAAATGCGCTTTCGAAATTACCACTTTTTTAGATGTACCTTTTTAAATGTATGACTGCATATAGAAAAACAAACTTGTTCTCAATGTTGACTGAACTGTAAATAGTATTGACATAATATCTTCGCAGCAGTTAGTTTATTTAGTCTATTTTCTATTATTAGTTTAACTAGCAATAGTCGAGCGCAACGTCGACTGGAATCTATTCGCTGCGCGGAAATAAATCTCAGATTTTACTGCGCAACGTGTGCTGCTCTGCTGAGATTTTACGATACGGATTCTTCCGCCTCACGGAATAAGACGGATTCGGCACGTTTTATGCGCTCTTAAATTTTTGTTTGAATACAACTTCCTCTTTCTTTTCTGCAACAATTAATACATATGTCATTCTTAAATGTTTACTTAACATGACGAAGAATATCATCATTAATCACGCGTGCGCACTGATACTGCATTTGATTACTCGTACCAACGTATACTTGATGAGTTGAATTGATTAATGATCAACGATGTAGTTCCATCTAACACTTCGAAATTGAATTAAGAACTTTAGTATAATAAGATAATTACCTATTTCTGCTAGATAAATGGAATAATAAGATTAATTTCAAAACATATTAATTAGACTTCAAATTTAATCGTTAATAAATTAATAGTAAAGGGAACCTGAACTGATAGTTGTAATTTTTGAATAATGATGGAGAGAGATAAAAGAAAAAAATTTACTTACCAATTTGATTTTCTTAAAAGTCGTAATACACACAACACTTTTGGTACAAATCATTTTTCACAATAATTTAATATTATATTAGCAATCTATAGTAAAAAAAAGAGAATGTCCTGCTATATATTGACTGAGTCATAAGTTTTTTGACAATTAATTTTATATGATAATCAGCTCCGGTTTTTCCTAAAAGCTAGTGGTATTTAATGAAATAAATATTTCTTGGCTAAAAGTAAGCTGAGCGTCAAGGGAATTGAGAGATCAATGCTAAGTCCCTGTAGTGTTACTGAACAACATTATAAATGAAACAGTCCTTTCTTTATGGATGTGGAGCTTACTTTAATAAATAGACCAGCGATGACAAGTGATTCAATTATATGTAATGCTTCGCGATTGACCAACCCGTATTCAAATGACAGACACGACGGATTCGTATTCGCGCTTTATCCACCACCTTGCCAAAAATATGGCTGGACAGCCCGGCGCGTGGAAGGACGGTATGTATGTCGGATAAGCGCGACGTACTGTCCGCGATATTAATATTGGGTGATTAAGTGGCTCCGGATGCACGTACCCGTGGCTGGTCCAAAGCCGAGCCTCGAGATTCCGAGCGACCGAGGACGATGGCGGGTCCAGAAAAAGATCGATCCCTTCCACGTTCACTAGTTTGCTTCTTCATCCCCCGGTCCGGATTTCTCTTGATATGCGAAGACCAACTGGAGCGATTTTCCGGTCGACGAACCCGGGCGATTTGATTCCGGACGGTGGTTTACATCTTGCCAAGAGATCATTATCTTGTCACTGGAATCCCGCTGCGATCTTGTGTGTAAATATGCTTCCGTCTTCAATTCGCAAAATAATAATACTTTTATTTTATAATGTTAATATCACGTCTAGGAATACAGAAACTAAGGAAGTTGGATTAGGATGAAAAATCACTTTGAATCAGGTCGTTGATTTTCTGGCGGATTACGCTAATATCTTCGGGAACTTTTGACGCGCGCCAATGCATACACGAATAATATTGCACGGTGCGAGCAAGCGCATTACGCTTGTCCGCAATTACTTAGGCCCGGCAGACACCCGTTTCTCTTCATCATAACGGCTATGGCGCGTGTTAAATGCGCGACTTGCACGAACCGGTTCGCTTGCTTGACGACTTCCTTTGGTAAATGAAATGATACTCACGGAAGCGTGGACAGGATATTACGCGTTGAAATTCCCGTCTATCTTGAGAATTCCGGGATTCCTTCCACGTGATAATTTACGTAACCCCCTATTAGAAAGAACACGAAGAAATGAAAAAGAATCAGAGATGCAAGATATATTAAAATATTTCAAAAAATATTTCTCTGCAACGTTCCGGGTTCATTTAAAGTAAAAAACAAATCACTATATCACTTATTATATTATTAATGTGTAATTTATTCATTCCTGCGTATTTCAAACGTAATTCTTTAAATATACAATAAATTAACCCTTTGTAAGCACACATATTTTTATTTACTTCGTAGTCTGGATCTTTTTCGTCCAGCCCAATTTTTTTACTGTTTCCTAATAACTTTTAAAAAATCTTGAAGAAATCAGAATTACTTTTCAACATTTCTATTGTGTTGCCAAATAGTTATTTAATTTAAATGTTGAAACTTTTATTTAAGAAAAATTGAAACTTGTGCCAAGAAATTTGATAGTGAAATTTCACTTGAGTAAAAAAAGACCCAATGTGGCTACGAAAAGTTAAAATTAAATTAAAAAAATAGAGCAAAATACAAAGTGTAATTACATATTAATTTTTTAATAACGAATTAAAGAACTCTTTTCTAATTCTCATATAACATTGGAAGATGTACTTATCAAGTATCTAGAAAAAATTTTTGATGTGAAGAAGAAAGAGATAGTGTTTCTAATTGTAAGAATAAGAATAATAATGTTTCTTTTCAAGTTATAATAATAATTTGTTTAATTGGACCTCGCCACGAGAAGTATCACGTTCCAAAGACGACCTCGAGCCCTCTTCTTTAGCAATCAAAAGCAATATCCCGAGCGCCTGGCAATAACGTCATCGCGTGCACGTCTAATGATGGTCGCGTCGTCGTGTTCCCAATTTACCCCGATCGAGCGGACCCGTCCAGCGTTGATCCCGTCACGTAACCAGCTATGCAATCTATCCATCCTCAACTCGACGAACCGCGGTTACTATACATACATACATACACACGCACACGCGTGTAATATATATATATAAAATATACTTTCATACACCGATATACCTGATGTCATAAATTTTCGCGCACCAGGTGCAGGCGCCGCGACGTCGACCATCCGCTTCCTCCCACCAGCCGCGGAATCCTCGGATTAGCGCGTGCGTAAACCTCCATAGGTTCACCCTGATCGTGTATGCGTGTACAGATATATATGCGTTGGTCATATTCCTGCGTACGTGTGATCCTCATGTGGCATGACTAATAGAGAGGGACAGGTCGCTTGTAAAGAAAGACAAAATGAAAGAGAGAGAGAGAGAGAGAGAGAGAGAAGGGGGGGAGAAAGAGAGAGAGAGATCAAAATTGAAAAAGGAGAGAGAAGAAAAGAGGGACGAGGATGTTTGATGGACAAGGTAGACTGGCAATTGTGATAGGCGACACGAAACTGGCCTCTGGTAGCTAACGCTGGAAAAAAGATCACCCAGATCGACGGCCAGCTCTCATCGTCCTCGCCGCCGACCGACTTTGGTGCTTGTGCGACCGTCAGTCGTGTCGGAGATGCGCCCTCGTGAAGTCGACTGACAGGCGCCATCAAGCTGGAGACCTCGCGAACGAGATCGCTGGAAAACGCCGGAAGACGTCCGTTCGGTCAGTCGGTCGGTGGGTCGGTTAGTGGGTGGGTCGGTCTCCTTAAGTCGGTTGCCCCTCAGAAATTCTTGATTTTTTTTTAGCGTAGACGTTTCGGTACCGGAGAAGATTTATCAACGCCGATCTATTCGGGGGATCTCATCCTCGAGGTGTTGTCGCACATGACGGCGCGCTCGTAACTGGATCCTTTCACTTAATCATCCCAACCGATATTTGGAAGTGATGTAAGATTTTTTTTACATTTGATTTTTTTGTGTAAAATAAAAATAAAATCTATCTACAAAGCAAAATAAAAAAAGATAAAATCAGTTTTTAATTAAAATAAGATATTCTAGACGAAATTGATTTGCATGCTACAAATTCAAGTGTATAATAAGTGCCTTCATATGTGTGTGATTTAGTTTTCGGTATAAAAATGACATACTGTGCTGCATATACAAGAACGGATTTACACATATAAAGGTGTAGTATATATAGTGCTATTTTTACACAGAAAAAATTACACACATATATGAAGACATTTAGTGCACTTGGGTTGCAGTATACAAGTTAATTTTTTACCGGAGTTTATTTTAATAAAAATGGTTTTATTATTATTATTTTTTATTTTAGACTTACAGACAGATCCTATCTTTCACGCAGAGAAAATCAAATGTAAAAGAAAACTTTTTGCAGTGTACTTGTCTCTTTATATGTATAATCATAGAAGTAAAATACGTTGTTACTCTTCTGACAACATAGATGTGTAAATTTTCTCTCGTTTGAAAAAACGCGATTCATTTTTGCAACGATTTAGAATAAAAAGATCCTGCAATCGATCAGAATAACGATAGTTCATCAAGTGCTTCAACGGAAATTCTCGTGATCCTGAAGTGTACTCGTTGGAGATGTTTTGGGGAGATAGAGAACCGGAAATACCAGCCACGTGGCAGGAGGTATCGACCTTCTATAAAGCTTGGTTGAAGAGCGTATTCTTCAGCGAATTCAACCGTCCTGCGCGTGGACCGATCTGCTACGCTAAGAGCGTTCAAGAAAAGAAGGAAATTCCAGGACCTGGACTTGATTTCGCGCCGCTCATCTTTCAGAGCATTTTCTACGTCGATACGAAAAAAGGTTTTATCTTCAACAGCTCTTTCAATTTGTCTTCAACTAATTCAGCAAATAATATTTAAAATGACTTGTAATTCATCGTATTTCGGAATCGTATTATCAGTAACCGTAGTAAAATTATTTTACATTATCCACCACAAATTTGTGTGAATACTTTAATTAAATACTTAATAAATCTGCACGGTGTGTGTGAGTTTCATAACACGACTTTTTCTGATACGCATCCCTGATCGAAAAAAATATCGGCTTATCATTTCTTTCTTTTTTTTTTCAAAGATTTTGCAAATTTTCCAGATATATATTCACAAGTTAATAATAATCGTTTCTATATATTTTAAGATGCAATTACCAAATAAGTTTAACTTAAATATTAAAACCTGTTAGGACAAGAAATATATCTTTCTATTTTCGAGGAATATTATTTATGTGCGAATTACTGTATATCTTTGAATATGAAACCGAGAGTTGACAAACACAAACATTAAGTAGTTATTTTTGATATGAAATCTTGTTTGGGTGCGAAAGCTGCAATTTTGTACATCAGTGCCAACCAATCGTGGCGCGCTCGAGGAAACTATGTCGCGCGGATGTCCTTGAGATGTGCCTGATGAACGCCACTCGTTTTCAGCTGAAGTAAAGATGCCTAGCGGAAACGTAGACAAGCCAGTTATCGAGGACAATCATGATGGTACGGTATCTATCAAGTACGAGCCGAGGGAAGAGGGCCTTCATGAGATTTATGTGAAATTTAACGGCGAACACGTCCAGGGTAAGTTAATCCATTCATCTCGCAAATTAACGGCGATTACGCAATCGTGAAGTGCGATCGATCATAGAAGATTCACAGAGCATTCCAAGAATAACGCGCTAATGTACGATGCACGTACGATCCATACGATCCTGAAACACAGAGGCTATATGAAATTTCATTCCCCGTGTAATGGATCTCACGAGCGCCAATTTACGCTAATAATAAATCTCCCCCGTCTGACAAATTAATTTACTTCACGCGACCATCTCATTAAATATAAAATTTCCCAATTACCTTCTGTCAAATAAAAAAACATTTTTTATACATTATTTATTATAATATCTCATTAAATCGATATTTAGGTCAAAATTATAATTTCACGAGTAATTATATAAATATAAATTTTTTTCAGATAATCTCTCCGCTTTTACTTTCTTCTTTAACAAAACTACACAAATTATTTAAGTAAAACAAATGTTCTACTATGTGTTTTATATTAATATACGATTTTATTGCCAGGTTCTCCCTACAAATTCCATGTCGATTCTTTGGCGAGTGGATATGTAACAGCGTATGGACCAGGTTTGGTTTACGGCGTTTGTGGTGAACCTGGAAACTTTACCATCTCGACGAAAGGTGCCGGTGCGGGTGGTCTTTCATTGGCTGTCGAAGGGCCCAGTAAGGCCGAAATAAGCTGTCACGACAACAAGGATGGCACGGTATCGGTGTCCTATCTACCTACCGCACCCGGAGAATACAAAATTACCGTTAAGTTTGGCGATAAGCATATCAGAGGCAGTCCTTTTGTTGCCAAAATTACGGGTAAGTGGATTAGAGATGCGCACGCGACGAGATTTCGAGACAAGATCGAGATTTTTCTCATCTCGTGCGCATAAGGATGCTTTAATTTTTATTTCTGAACGGTTTATAAAACTGAACGGTTTATTTCTTATAAAACTGAAGGACTAGGTTATATTAAATAAGAAATTATTACTATTTTAAATATTTTGAATTTTTGTTTTAATAATATATTAATAATATACCTATAACTCTTTGTTTCTAAAATTTTGATTTTCAAATTTCACTTTTTTATAATGATTTTATAATGAAAAAATTAAAACAATTAAAAATTCGCCGTTTTTAGGCGAGGGCCGTAAGAGGAACCAGATCTCTGTAGGCTCTTCTAGCGAGGTGCAGCTGCCGGGTAAAGTGTCCGACGCTGATATCAAATCTCTAAATGCGTCCATCACGGCACCCAGCGGTCTGGAGGAGCCGTGTTTTCTAAAGAAAATGCCGGGGAGCGGTAACATGTGTGTGTCGTTTACGCCACGTGAAGCGGGCGAGCACACCGTGAGCGTGAAGAGAATGGGCAAGCACATACCGAATTCCCCCTTCAAGATCGACGTGAAGGATCGCGAGGTCGGTGACGCGAAGAAGGTTAAAGTTTCCGGTCCCGGTCTGAAGGAGGGTAAGACTCATGTGGAGAACAAATTCTCGATTGATACGAGGAATGCTGGTTTCGGTGGTCTCTCCCTCTCGATGGAAGGCCCGAGCAAAGCCGAGATCCAATGCAAGGACAACGAGGACGGCACTCTTAACATCTCCTACAAGCCCACCGAGCCCGGTTATTACATCATGAATTTGAAGTTTGCGGACCACCACGTCGAGGGCTCGCCATTCACCGTCAAAGTTAGCGGAGAGGGTAGCAACCGACAGAGGGAGAAGATTCAAAGACAGCGAGAGGCTGTGCCAATCACTGAGGTCGGCAACCAGTGCAAATTGACCTTCAAGATGCCCGGTATCACGTCCTTTGATCTCGCCGCTACTGTCACGTCACCCGGTGGTGTCACTGAAGATGCCGAGATCAAAGAGGCCGAGGATGGCATCTACGCGGTAGCATTCGTGCCTAAGGAATTGGGCGTGCACACGGTATCCGTGCGTTACAAGTCCATGCACATCCCTGGCTCGCCTTTCCAGTTCACGGTAGGTCCGCTTAGGGACGGTGGTGCGCACAGAGTTCATGCGGGTGGACCCGGTCTAGAAAGGGGAGAGCAAGGCGAACCATGCGAATTCAACATTTGGACCAGGGAAGCGGGCGCGGGCACTCTTGCCGTCTCCGTCGAGGGACCTAGCAAGGCGCAAATAGATTTCAAGGATCGCAAGGACGGCAGTTGTTACGTTAGCTACGTCGTTAGTGAACCCGGTAAGTTATGAGTGTGTTCTTTTTTTACTTTATATACGCGGTGACCATCGCCATTGGCGGATCCAGAAATTTTTCAAGGAAGTGACCATTGATTCGTTACAAGCGAAAATTTTTTAAGGTCAAATATGAAAAGATCAATATGGGAGAACGATGCATATTACTGATATATGGGACCTACAGTTTAACGCTGGATCCTAACGGCGCTGGTGATCAAAAGTGTCTTAATCATCAAGTGGAGCCATTTTCGGCTCTTTAAACGCGAAAAATCGCGTATGTGGGCGCAGGTGGGATTGAATTTAGATCTACAGATCGCGAGTCAATCGCATCGAGCAACAGGCCACTCAGCGTCTCAAATTATTACATTGAAAAAATATTATTTAAACGTATTAATTATAAAATTATTATTTAAATGTATAATTTATAAAACATTTTATTTAGAATTACATTAACACAAAAGAAGAATGATATAACAGAATCTGGTTTTTATATTTAGGAGTTGTTTAAATTAAAAAATATTTCTGGATCCAAAGAAGGTCATGGTCCTCATGCCTCCCCCCCGTAGATCCGCCAATGGCCATTGCAAAATTCTATGAAAAGCGCAGGCAATGTTTGTGTTTAAAGTCATTGCACGCGCAGGCTATACGTTTCCAACCGCTAATTTAGAACTGCAACATTTACGAATTACCAATCCATCATTTGAAGTACCCATAAAATGTTACAATATAGTGGTAAAAATGGACTTTTGCCAATCCATTCCTAACTAATGTGAGACTAGTTGAAGGTAATTCGCGCCTTGAAAAGACGGTAACCGATTCTTAAGTATTTATAAATTTATTCGCTAAATAAATTCCGTTAAACGACATTTACGCATACTTTGCATCATGATAGATTATTCGCCGCACGCGTACGCATCTAATCGATTGCGTACTGTCGGCCAAGTGACTCACGAGCGTTCCAAAATTATCCGCACGAATTTTATGGATCGCCGACGATATTCACGGGAACTAAATCACCCATGATCGGGCGTTCATTGGATTTAATACGTGTAAATTTAATCACGAGGTAATGAAATTATACTTAAATATTTCCTAGAATATAAAACGAAATGTTACTCTACTTACGAAAATATATTCTACAAATTAAAAAAAAAAAACAGAATGCTACCGATCTCCGAAAGTTTTTGAGATTCGACATCTTTTTTTATCTATCTTTTTCTAATAATTATTCTACGATTGTTTCATGATTACATAGTATTTTTTATTAATTTTAAACAACTAATAATATTCTTTTAATATAATTTGGTATATAAAATATTTGATGAAAGTATTTTTTTTTTATATCAAAGCCATAAATGACTTGATAAAATAGACAATGAACCTTTTGTCTTTAAATATCTGCGTTGAAGCCACTAGATTTTTGCAAATTTTTAACAAATTTTAATTCATCTAAATAATTATTATTTTAACAGTTTTCTGTTAATATTGGGATTAACCATGTATTCACGCCCAGTTGGGTTTACATGCGTATCGTAGCTATGAACATAGATTAACGTTGATTATCCACAAAGTGTTAATGAATCCGGTTCGACTGCTCTTTGATCCGTCATCGTCCATAGTGCCTCTCTACCCTTCTCTCCTGTTGATCGTCCAGCTCTCTTTCTTTCTCTCTCTCTCTCTCTCTCTCGATTCCCGAAATATCGTCGTCTATATTTGTTAAGGTGAATCCATATTTTGGCCCCGCAGTTGGCTACTCATGGCTGGACGCGGATTAGCACGCGATGGTTATATTTGGGCCCCGTGGGAGCGGATTTTGACGCGGTGGGGAGACCGACGGGGGCACGGGGGCGCGAGCAAAACAGAAACACGAGGGTGTGGGGAATGAGGAGGGAGAAAGCTAGCCAACGAATCGAGATCAGGATCGACCTGAGGAAAAGTAGTGGTACGCGACCAACCTTCGGTTACAGCTGCAGATCGTTCGTCTCTTTTCTCTTCTCCACCTTTTTATTTCCTCTTCGCTCCTTTTTTTTCTCTTGTGCTTTCCGTTCCCCCTCCTCGATCCCTTCCAACTACCCCTGATTTCCTCCTCGTTTGTCTCGCACGCCAAGACTCCACGTGTTTCCTTCACGTTGGACTTTCATTTTCGGCGAAATCCGTGACGTAGTCCGGGGTCGATGGCTACCTTCACAGCCACCACGCAGATCGTCCTGACCGGAAACGAGTCACAGGAGTGTCAGCAAGGCGATGGTTAGTTCGATCCTTGGGCGGATATTTTCCTGAACTTTCCCTTCTGATTTGTTGGATGGAAAACACAGTTCGCTTTGAACGTTCCGTAATTTATTTATCCATCGCGTTTCTTTCGGAAATAATGAACATGGCTACCTTGTAGATATCCCCAATTTCCACGTAAATATTAATAATTGTGATGTAACAATCTACGATTTATTTTAATTATTTTAGTTTTCTTTACTATTATATTATATAAAATATTTCAAAACAAAAACTATCATTACACTTAAAAGTTAATTTTTATTTAAATAATGTCCTACCAATGAAGATTAATTTTAATCTCGGCACAACTTGCTCTTCATCTTTTTTTAATTCTTAGAACTAGAAAAAGATGAAAAGTTAATTGAACCAAGATTAAAATTAAATTACATTAGTTGACACGAGTATTAAATAAACAAAAAATACAAATCAGAATTGATTATGCATTATATTATAGTTTCTCGACAAACATTGGGGACTATGTGTTTACTATTAAAAAAGTCTCATACTAGCAATTCTATATTACTCCATTAATTTATTAAAATGTGCGTTGCTTATTTTCAGGCGAATATAGGGTGGGAATCAAGTTCAACGATCAGCACATCCCTGACTCGCCGCATAAGGTTTACATCTCACCGGCGATGGGCGATGCACACAAACTCGAGGTCGCGCAGTTTCCCGAAAGCGGAGTGCAGCCCGACAAGCCATGCACCTTTCTGGTGCGCAAGAACGGCGCCAAGGGTGAACTGGACGGGAAGGTAAAGTTGCCCTTTTTTTCTCTCTGGACAGTCCTTCCAGGGGCTGTAACATTCGCGAGTTTAACTCACTGCGATACACCTCCTTACGAAAGAGAGAAGGAGTGCCGTAAATAACTCGCGCGCTTGTGAAATAGTCGCCACCACATCAGACTGCGTAGGTGGGATCGCGAACGTATTTTTACTGTTCGCCACATGTACATAGCTGGATGAGTCACATGGAGGATTTCGACACAAAGTGGTAGTGTTTCCGTCATCCTCGTAAGGGTACCTCTTGGTGGTAGCTCATTTGAAAGTCATGCTATGTTATTTTCTTTGACTCGGCTTTTTGCGACTCAACGATCCACTAGAAAAACACTGAGTCAACGTATGCTGTCATATAGTACCTAATCTTTGGACACGAAGTAAAATTTTTAGATTATAGAAAGAAACTAAATGCTTTGAAATATGCAATATCAAGAAAAGATTTTGTATTTATAAATAATGTACAATTCAATACTAGAATTGTGCCATTTGTGCCATTTTGGTTCCGCTAATCATTTAATTTTTTTCATATTTGTGTTAGATATATAGTATAGAATATTGAAAATATTGTCAAACTTACAATATTTGTCAGTTTGATAATATTTTCATACCTAATACAATACTAATCAAACTGACAAAGAGTGCCCTTGCTCCTCACAAATTTTGACGAGAAGAAATAAATTATGGAAATCATTTTTACGATGAGAGAGAGAAAGAAAAGTTAAACGCTCATTGCCCAATTGACTCATATGTTATTCGTAAGAAAGTTTACTAAAGATTCTTGAAAACAAACTTTAATATATTGTATTTTAATAAGTTTCTGTGAAATAAATTTTTGCCCCCCCCCCTCCACTCTCTAACTGAAATCCTAGATATGTACATGGCGATTGGTATTATGAGTTCCTAAATTGTGAAAAATTTTAAACCTTTCTTCATCAGCTGTAAGCGATCCACAGACGGATGTTCTTGTATTCTGTACTTCAAACATAACACTTTAGATTACTTTAGTGTAGTTTTTATAACTATAGTTGAGGGTTAAAAGCTGATCTTCTGAGTCGCTCGAATTAATTATCCATTATTCTTCCAGCTTGTATCACCAAGCGGCACCCAGGACGACTGCTTCATCCAGAGTATTGATGCGGACACATACTCGGTAAGGTTCATGCCGACGGAGAATGGCATTCATCAAATCCACCTCAAGTTCAACGGAGTGCATATATCGGGTAGTCCGTATCGTGTCAAAGTTGGTAAAGTGGACGCTGATCCAGCGGCGTTACACGCCTATGGCAACGGTCTAAAGGAGATCAAGACCGGTCAGAAAACCGATTTCATCATCGACACCTGCAATGCGGGCAGCGGAGCGCTGGGAGTCACTGTGGATGGACCCAGCAAGGTCGCTATGGACTGTACCGAGGTCGAGGAGGGTTACAAGGTCAGGTACACGCCTTTGGTACCAGGCGATTATTATATCAGCATCAAGTACAACGGCTACCATATCGTCGGCTCACCATACAAGGTTCCTTGCACAGGTGCGTATTCTTTATCTACTTTCAATAATGTATGCATAATTTATAACTTATTCTATCATTCCAAGTCTAAGAATACAATTTATAAATCATTATATTTTTAAAATGTTAGAATAATTTATAAATTATGCAACTATAAAATTTAACAGAAAGGGCGGCATTGGAAAAAATAAATACTGTCTATTCCAGGCGCGGATTTGGCGGAGAGAGGAGCGCAAGAGACAAGCTCAATCGTTGTAGAGACCGTGCAAAAGATATCGAAAAGCAAGCAGACTGGACCGATATTGCCATTGTTTAAATCTGATGCGGGCAAAGTGACGAGTAAAGGCATGGGTCTCAAGAAAGCTTACTTAGGAAAACAAAATCAATTTACTGTGCACGCGGGAGACGCTGGTATGTGATCGCAATCACGTTTGTTATCAATCCAATTAAATATGTAAAAATATATTTTCCACAATTAAACATCATTAATTTGTTGTGATTACATTTCTCTCTAAATTCTTTAAAGTAAAATCTTACTTTAAAGAGTAAAAATTGAGCCAGTCTTGAAAAAGAGTGGTTCAGTTTTCAATCTATAAGAGTGAGATTTCACTTTTCAGAATGACGTTTAGTTTAAAAGTTTTAGAGAGAGTGTATTGTTTATATATTTTGATGTTTAAATCCAGGTGATAATTTAAAGAATGTACAACTAGCATGAGAGTTAATTAACTTTTCGAGTAATTATTTGAAATTGTTAATCAGTATCGTAATTGCAGGTAATAATATTCTCTATGTGGGCGTGTATGGGCCCAAAGGACCATGTGAGGAGGTCTTCGTAAAGCACACAGGCCGCAATAATTACAACGTGAGTTACCTGGTGCGCGAACGGGGCGAGTACATCGTGATCGTCAAGTGGGGCGACGATCACATCCCCGGTTCACCTTATAAGGTCGAGGTTTAAACCGAACCAGCATCCAGACCAGACGTAACGCGTCTGCAACCGCAACGACGGTCAATAAAATAGAGTCATGCGTCATTTCGTTGTAAATTGCATGGGTCTTCAAGTTCATATTCATCTTCGCCGAATACAGAAACGAATTAAGTGCCAATTTAGATTCTCGAACGAAAACTTGTAATTTAATATTAATTATTGGCGAAAGGTACATCTAAAACAATCCGGCCTATGTCGAAACGACGCACGTTATTTCGATTTCTAGAATAGCAGTCATACACAGAAGACAGTTATGACACTCTCACGATAAAATTGCGATGTGACTTTTCGCCAACATAGTTCATTCATCCTTCCAAATCTTGAGGATAATTTTGACATCTTAGAATTGACGATTTTTGCTGAATTCGAAACAGAGTAGAATCGCAATTAGAAGTTAAAACGACGGAAGAACATGTAGGTCAATTACTGTTGTTTGTTCAAAAACACCAATTGTGCCTTTGATTCGACATTATAAATACACAGAGATATATTATTCGACAGAATCACACACGTGCAGTACCATATACAAAGACATATGCAAAGACGCTTCATGTCGTACCCAAGTCAAATCTTGATTATGTTATATATTATTGATTATTGAAGAAACAATTGGAACAGTCCCTCATCGATTTTAATGAGTTTTATTATATAACAGCTAAAAATAAGACATATATTTTATATGTTCTTTTTGCATGTGTGTGTGTGTGTGTGTGTGTGTGTGTGTGTGTGTGTGTGTGTGTGTGTGTGTGTTTAAAAGTTAGAAAAATCGTTCACGAATTAATCTTAATTTATAATAACGGGAGAGAGGGGGGAATATATTAAAAAATGTATTTTTTCGACAAATACATAATTGTGAGAAATTGTAAAATATCATAATATTTTTCTTCTAGAAAATTTTTTTTATATATTGTAACAATTTTAATCGATATTTGATCGAGATTAAAATAGGGTTTGATTGTCTTAATTTTGTAAATGTACAAGAAAGCATCCATAAATAAAAAGATACGTGTCTTATTTTTTGCTGTTCTGCAATTCTTCAAAATCAAAATCAGTGAAGGACAATTTGGACCGTTTCTTTGTAAGTATAGATTAAATATACTGCAATTGATTATTATTATTATAATGATATAGAAATTAAATAAATAATATATTTATTATATGGACTTTTTGTTTACCATCGTATCCTTATGCGGAAGCATGTTTTTCGTCTATGAAATAATAAGCGTGCGATACGTGATATTTTTCTAATAAGTGAAGCATTGAGAAAAAGAGTAGCATATATTATAGCTCGAGAAGTATAAATAAAAAAAGAGTGCATTTTAGAGGAAGTAAAAATTTGGGAAATCTTGTAACTCAAATTAATTTTTCAAAGTTTATTTTAAAAAAGAGAATTCTCTGTTTCACTACATTAATTGCGAAGTAGTAGAAAAAAATTAAAAAATGTAATAATTGCATTTTAGTTCAACTTTATGATATACGCTATTTAGTTTAATATTACTTTTAAAAATTATGAAACACAAACAAAAAATAATTTTAATAACAAAATAATTGAGAAAGAAATATGATAATATTTATTATTTAAGTTATTGTTAAAATTTTTTAATTTCGTATTTGGTACATATTTATTCTACAAAAAATACATTTTATATAATTCCAAGTTCGATTTTTTATAAGAACTATTTTATGAACTCAGCAGATTGTTCTTTGTTATATTGTATTCTTCCTCTCATTAATATTGCTTCAAGTCTTTCTCACGCATTTAAGTTACTTTGCACTTTCTGTCTTTTGTCTTCATTACTTATTGAATTGATTGCATGTCAAGATAACAAGATGAAATGAATGCAACCAGATAAGAATAATTGCCAACATTAATCGTCGCATTTCCAGTGAGTGATTTATATCGCATGTTTAAAAAAAAAACAAATAAAAAAACAGCCTTTCCATTTGCACCATGACAGCTGATATACAATAGTCAGCGATTATTTTGAAAATTAATTGCCGAAGGTTTCACGGCATTTGCATACAACAGGAAATGCACCGCAGGTAACTAGTCGTCTCGTTCTGCACCACACCTGTAGCTGAGTAATGCTACAGCTGCATCATATTCGTAACAATATTAATTTATCATTTATCTGCGATATTTCTATCGGTAAGTAATTGCGTACACTTTCTTATCTATCTTTAAAAAGTTCCCTCGAGTCTCGCGTGTAATCTCGATAAAGTTTATTCCAAACTTTGATCTAAATATAATTAAACTGCTATTATCGTCGCATAAGAACGACATCAAATAATGCAATTACCTTTTGAAGAAAATGCGAAATTTTTTGACGTAATCATATTTAACAAATTATTATGCTAATTATGAAATTTTTTCATTTGTCTATAAGTTGTGTGTGGAGCAAAAACAATTTTTTAAATATTTAGTGATTTAGATATCATATTTTATAATTTATATCTTTTTGCAATATTTCTTTATTTATTTCTATTCATTTTATTATTGGATACATATTTTACATAAATATATACAAAGATTCAAAATTTGTTATAATACATTAATAATTCATTAAACACATCTGCGTATTCTTTCATCTATATGAGAGATATTAATTTTTTAAGATTTGAAAAGATTGAAACCAGATTAACATAAACAATTTATTGTAGGACCTCTTTCTTTTATTATTGTAATATTAATATTAATTAGTATATTTTTTTTATCTGTTACTCATGTATATCTATTAACTCAGGCAGCTGTCGTCTCACCATTCTGTCCTTTATCGCCTCCAATTAATCTTACACAAGCAGAAATCAAATTTGGCAAACTTTCGCGATTCGTGTGTGAAAATATTCGGTCCGCTGCACATTTCTCGCTCTCAATTTGTGTGCGCGTGTTCTTACTCTCTCTCTCGGGAGAGAGAAAATCTTAGACAGAGATAGAGAGCGGCTAAAAAAAAAGCAGGGCGATTGGAAGGGAGAGAAATGTTAGGGGGATCGGAGGGGGTGAAAGGTATGAGAGCGACGAGAAGGAACAACGCGTGGAAGACATCGTGAGGATTGCGCACCTGGATCTCTCACTCAGTTTTCGCGGCGACGCCCGCGAAGGTGCTGCAGGACAAGGGATCCGAGCGGCGGGAACGGAAGGACCTCTCAGACGCGGCCTGTCCCCCCTTTGGTGAAAGGGGGCGGCAACACGCGATGCGAATCGAGTCCGCAGGCGTCGGGAACCTGTGGCCGACTTGCGCCGTGTGCGAGCGCCCGTCATCCCTTCCGCTCGCGGGGTTCGTCGAGCGAGAAACACGCCCCGCCGCGACGGCGTACAGCCTCCTCCGGGGCCGACGAAATCGCGGATCGTCCCAGATGCTTGCGAGCGGCTGCCACGTGTGGTCGCGTGGCCTTGGAGTCCGTCGCCTGGTGTTTTCTCCGTTAGAGATCCTCAAGTAAGAGATTGGACATCGTACGTTTGGTCTATCATATTTTTCAGGACCTGCTGCTTAAGATAGGATGAGATAGATTATGCATAAAACTGGCAGCACATACTTTTGCATAACGCATAATGTGTAAAACGTAAGAAAATGAACTAACTAAATAAGTTCTTCATTTCCTTCTTTTTCATGAAATAAAGAACTCTGGTCGGTTGAGTTTCTCATGTCCTATGCATTATGCGTTATGCAAGAGTGCGTGCTCCTCGTTTAAGATTGAATGAGATATCCACATCTCGTTCTATCTTATACATCTACCTCATTCTATTTTAAATCGTGAAAATGTGGCGGATTAATCAGAAGTTGTGTAGTCGGTGTCCAATTTCTTACTTGAGGATTTCTAGTCTCTCATTACTATTGGTCTACGTTATAATTGTGATCACAATTCGACGATCGGTTTAAAATGCGCCACCCCCTTTTCAGATCATAAATTGCAAAAGATCGAGTTCAATATCGAGGATTAAATTGTTTATGTTAATCTGGTTTCAATCTTTCCAAATCTTAAGAAATCAATATCTTTCATATTGATGATTATTTTTGTAAATATTAGTAATTTTTATAACCAAATTTTGCCATTAATTTCAAAGTTACAATAATTCAAAGCTTTTAAAATGTAAAAATTACGGTACAAAGCATTTGATGCTTTGAAACATTCTTTAATTGGTTAATTAGTAAAATTCTTTTTTCTGATCAATTAAATGCGTCGAAATATTTGTAGCATCAGTAGGCTGCATTCAAAGTCTGACACGTCGGGCAAATTGCCCAACTGCGTCGTCAAAAATTCAATTATGTAATTGTGAATTTTTGCTATCAAACTGCGATTATATCAAAAGATACTTTTAAGATTATAATAAAATGTGTATGTGTATTAATATACCTTTAAAATTACATTAAAAAGCGTCACATTAGGCAAATAACGCCGTGTAGATTTGTTTGTCAATCGATAAAATTCTGGCATGCGAGTATAAATCGTTTCAAAGACTAAACTTTAAAATAAAACCACAAGATTCTTCTCTTTTATCTCTTAATTCATTCAAGAATTTAGTCTCTATAAATGTTATAATTATTAAGGGGTACAACGGTAGAAGACTATAAAAGTATCATTTAAGAAAGTCGAATTTTATTTCTGCTTACTGTTAGTATCGACTCTTGCATCTTTTCAAAAATGAAAAACTTGTTACAACACAAAATACATATAAACATATAATAAATTTATAAATTCATAGGCGCATTAAGGAACATAATTCTCTATAAGGAATATCGTTGAAAAATCTAAAAGATCGACCTTTCAACATTCCACGTGCAATTTTCTAAACATCTTTTGAAGCTTTGTCTGCATTTTACATGCGTCTCTTAACCGTTGTTATTAAGATCGCCTACGTTTATCCTCGCGTTCTTCCATGGGTCTATATCTACGACATTACCCTCTTCCGTCCACAACAAAGTATCACCGACAGTTCGACGGTAATGCCGAGCGTTTCCATTTTCTATGCAGCAGGATGGAATAGAGTTCAATGACTCGGAAAGGGTGAGGAAGAGAGACAGGAAAAGGGAGGGAGGCAGAGGCGTCTTTCGCGGCGTTCCACGGGATTGACTGCGGGCAGACGAGCTCGGGGCGAGCTTCTCGTGCGTGAACTCGCGCGTAAGTAGGAAAATGCGTCGCGGACGCGATGGAAAGCACGATAGAGATAGAGGCGGAGCTTTCACCGCCTCCACCTACGAGCCCACCTTTCGCGGGAGGTATGTCGCCCGGCTGGGTTTCCCAGACCTTTTCCACAACCTCCTGCTGCTGCTCCTCTCTTCCTCTCTCTCTTTGCCTTTTTTTCATTCCCACCACCATCGTCCACCTCCACCTCGGGGAACGGCCCCGACATTTTCCTTCATCGACTGCCTCTTACCGGTGATGGTGAATCCGCACCAGCCAGCCGGGTTTCTGCAGTCTACTTTCTTTAGAACGTGTTTATAGATATATGGAGATATAAGCTGGGAGTGGCTGGTAAAAGTTAAATAGAAAATGTAGTCGTTAAATTGAAATAGTAAATCGAACGAATATGACGTATGATTAGATTAATCTTGAAATACTTAATACTGAAATTGGAACAAGAATTGAAATGAGGCTGGAGAACGTTAAGATCGTACTTTGAAACAGCGATAAAAACGCAACGAATCTAGCAGGATTATCAGTATGTAACAAATAATGTTGGAGAGATTATTCACGCGTGGTTCATCTTGCGAAATATACAATCGCTGTTGTGTTCGTGCAATAAATTAAAACTAAAGGGCTCTCACGATAATAGGATTGTTACTTTGAAAAAAAATTTGTCACAGCAGTGGGAAGATCATTCTATCATAAAAAAATTTTTTAATCTAATTTTATTTATCTAATATTGTCGAAAGATTGATGGCAAAATTGTTTAAATTTTAACGAAATAAAAATGACGGACTTCTAATGGCTGTAACGTCCATCGATTGAGTTCCAAAGTCGAGTCTGTAAATAGTACAATGTAACTCCTTCGTCCACTTTCTCTTTCGATTACAACACTGCCATTTATTTAATATGTAACCATCTCGTACGAAGTAAGTGAGGACTCCATAGGCACTCTTTTTGCTGCGTAAGAGTTCGTATATACTGAGCCACCATCTTGCCATGCGACCCCGTTCCGCTCTTGCATTCTTTCCCTCCCTCTCTGTGAATTCGCCCGTGCGGATCCATACGGAGCGCGACGCCGAGCTCCACCTTCGTCGCTACTTTCATCGCCGCCGCCTCCTCTACTTCCGTTTTCGCCACCTCTACTTCCGTCTCCGCTACCCGCCCCTGTTCTCGTCTATTACACGGTTCGTAAACCCGGCGCGCCATTTTGCGTAACCCTTTTTCCTCGAGAACCGCCACCACGGTGACCTCTTTGCTCTCGTCGTGATCCCGCCGGTCCTGCTTCCGCTGCGGCTTTAATCAGAGCTCTTTCGAAGCGAGTACGTAGCACGGAGATAAGAAACGGAAATTAAACGTTAGACATTTACAAAACTCGCACACAACAGTGTATTTTTAGCTGCTATTCGCTCTCTCTTTCTTTCTCTTCCTCTTTCTTACGGACGCGACTTCGCGACATAACTAAATTTTATTTGAATTCGCTTCAAGGAGATCAAATTTGGTAAATTATTTCGTTTCGATTAATTTTTTAATTTATCGTAATTCACAATTAATTCTTACTTGAAAAATTGGCGAGAAAGCCGCTATTAGACGAGCAGCAAATCTTTAAAAGATGATTGATATTATAATATATCTTAAAATAGAATTTTTATTGTAAATTCGCACGATATATAGTTTTGTATTAACTTCACACACTTGTATTACTTTTTGTATCTTTAACGATTTATCTGTGATTTTATAACTTATTTAAATCATTTATTTGATTATTTTGAAGTATCCATAATTTTTCTGTAATACTAATATTTGCAATTTCGTGTCAGAGGAAAAAATGTAGAAAAGAATATTATTCCCACGAAAAAAAAATCTTTTAATATTTTTGACCGTTTTAAATATATGGAAATATTAAATGAAAAAAAATGGAAACTATTAAATTGTTTGAATGCCGAATAGCAATCAATAGTGGAAATAATATAATAAATATTTTGTACGTACCTGTCATATCTTCTTCTTTGACAAAAATATCTGTATTGTCGATTTGGCCGGGGAGAAAAAAATAACTCGTGAAACGCAGCACACACAATTGTACATTCCATGATCGTTTTATTTCGATTACAGAACAGCGATCGGGGGGATTTATTTCTCTTCTTGATCCGTTTAGTGTATTTACATTATTAGCTCGCTGGTGCATAGCGAGAGATTGGTTTGGCGATGATCTAAAAGTTCTGGTAATTATATGATCGACGAGCGTCGAAAGCCGATCATTAGAAAACACGTACTGTTCAAAGAAAAACTTAATTGTTACATGGTCGTGAATTCGGTACAAATTTGTATCAGAAAGAAACAAAGTCACATAGCCAATCGGCTTTCTCTCGCGTCGTCTTCCTTCGCGTAATCTTAAGATTCCTTAATCCTCGTTTGTGAAACGAAGACAATGATGTAGAGCGTATGACGCGACTTTCGTCGACGCGGATTGGTGTCGTTTGCATCTCGCAATTTTATCGCGTGTTTAACAGACGATTCTCCGTAATATATTTAATCCAGGGTGTTTACACGGAAAGAACGATTTTGCTCAAGTATCAAAAAATTTAGCTAGATACAGATCCGAAAATAATTTTGTTAGAACATCAAAATTTTTGGGTAAAACACTCAAATTAATTGCTAGAATTCAAAAAATTTTAATATTTCTAGCAATCAGTTTGAGTGTTCTATCTAAAAATTTTGATGGTTTAACAAAATTATTTTCGGATCTGTATCTAGCTAAATTTTTGAATACTTCAGTAAAATCTCTCCGTGTATAATACGTAATGATTGCTCAATAAAAATAATAAGAATTATTTTCGTGTGTCTGCACAAATATTTCAACTTTGAAAACTTGCAAAAACATCAAATTAAATATCAAAAAATGAGAATTAAAAGATTCATTGTCAAATCGGAAAAATCATTGAGAATGGATTGACTTGTATCAATTGAAAATAATTAATTTATAATTACAATTTCAATATAACAAATGAAAGTAGAACAGCACGGCAAGGTTCGCGGAAAGATTGACAGTTTTCGGAAGGGACGGCGAGTTCGTAAGTATAAGTGAATATATCGAATGCGATCGTTGCAGACGCGCAAACTCTCCATCGGGTGATCTTGGAGCGATGCTCGATTGATGATCGTTAAGAACTAACGGAGTTAATTTACTAGCTCTAAGATGCATAAACGTACATGTTAAAATCCTAGAGAGTTAATTTACGTAACGCAGAAAAATATACAAGTATTTACAGAAGCAGAACGCTCGTTGATAACGCTGTCCGGCTGATCTCGAATCCCTGGAGTGGAGAACGCAGATCCTGAGGGACGTTGAACCGGATTGTTCACATGTAGATGCGCCGTAGATCGGATGGTGACGTTATCATGTTGCATTGCGGACAGAGTTTCTTCGCGCCCTGTAACAGTGATAAGAAAACCCTCGTTTCTCAACAATTGTCGGAACCAAAGTCGTCACTTGATAGAATTCGCCACAGACTTGGAGAAGATTCAGAGCATAGAGAAAATTGATGATAAACTTGAATAAAAATGGATTCCGACATGTTAACACAAATTTCGTTAAATATATTTATCGACGATTAAATTAATACTGTAGTTTCACGAAAGAAAATTAAATTCAGAGGTCGATCTGGCAATTATGCATGGAAAGAACGATTTTACTGAAGTATCTAAAAATTTAGGTAGATACAGATATGAAAATAATTTTGTTGGACCATCAAAATAATTATGTAGGAAATTCAACCATGACGAGCAATGCTGCAAAAAGTTTTGATATTCCATAATGCGTCCAGCTTGAGCATTCTTCATAATTACTTTGATATCCAACAAAATTAGTTTCAAACCTATATTTAGCAAAATTTTAAAAACCGTTCTTTCCGTGTGATTACTTGGGTATTGATATATACAGAAATGTTTACAGAAATTTCAACAGCTATTTTTATTTTGTAAGTTGTATGATACGTCTAGAGTTATAAGTTTAAAAAGTTTAATTTAATTATTTAAAATGTTTGAAAAGTAACTAGGTTCAAAAGCATATAAACAATTAATACGCACCAGCGTATGCAACCAGCATTGTTCGCAGTGTACGTGCCAGCAACAAACCGAAGTGACCGGCTTTTTGTATTGTTCCTGAAATGGAGATTTTTCACACATTCGATAAATAAAATAATTGGCGAATCCACTTGCAACCAATACTCCACTTCTCACATGCGTGTCAATATAAAAGATATAAAAGATATAACACACACCGTGTATAAAAGGGTTTGTTACATCGCTAATTTAGTTAATTGGCAAATGTACGACGATAATTGTTCTTGAAGTTTACGAGACGAGTCACGTCTCGAAATCGAAAAAAGGGAATATCTTAATTTCTCATTAGATTAATGCAAAGCGGCAAGGAAGGGGGAAAGGATATCCCATATTCAGTCCAATTTCTCGCGAGTGACAAAGACGAGATACAGCCGATAACACAAAAAAGATTTAACGATCGCGAGATCGCGAGCTGAATGGTATTTTCTCCCGGCGGTTTTTCACGAAATGAATTAAAGTGATCATTATTCACGGCCGTTATATTATATATTTAAGCGTCATTTCTCCCTGGATCGGCAAATACGCCTGTTTATCCTGGCTGATAATGATCGCAGCTCGATACACTTTTAGCGTTTTAATATCACCACGTTACAAGCGAGATCGTCGTCTTATCTCGCGTGGCGAGTTATTTCGCGCGATCGCGAACCTGTTACAGCGAGTTGGTGGACAGGTAATACCGCATCGACGATGGAAATACTGAGCGGTAATATTACATGTAATGCTCCTTCGTTACTTTGTTAATTCGTATACGCGCGGCGTATTAGAGAATAATTTATTCGATGATCTAAATATTTCAAGCTGTCGCTGATGGAAAAAACACAGTCGAATTTTATGCACGGCTTTTATATGTCGTCGCAATTATTTACGAGTTACGAAACGCGCGTTTTCAGATCACGGATGAAACGCGATGAAATAATATGTATAATGCAATATTACAAGGAATAATATAAAATACGTAATAATATAAAATACGATAAAGCGCGTCGTTTTTCCGGCTTATTTTTGCATGTCCAATTTGATTTTTCACAATATTAAAACCAGCAAGTTATCTATAACGATGAACTAATTACAGTGACTCAATTACAATCATTTGCCATATTAGCCTTCGAAAGTTAATCGGTTCAGTTTTTACGTTTAATAATCGTTTTCAGAGAGCGAAACCTAATTTTTATTATTACGATCGTTTCATTCATTTCGCGAAGCGTATTATTCAAACGATAAATTGTTCTGCAAAATTTCAGCAAAATTTCAATTTCAAGCAGTATTATTTAATTTGACTTTGTTTTCTTGTCTTAAAAATATAGGTGCATATTGGTTATTTTCTATCATTAACGTAATATTAAATATTATTTAAAAAAATACGTTCACTTTTGTACAAATTACCTCGAAACTTAATCTTTTCATGTGAAACGTCATATTGAGAACAACACACTTGGATGTGGCATATCCAACCCAATTCGCTGCTTATAACTTTCATAAAAATGAACATACATATTATAAACAATATTTCTTTCAATTGAAACGTTACATTGAAGAACATAATGCTAAGAAAATATATGCATTTTTATTAATAAAAAAGTTATAAGCAGTGGAAAAAGCATGTGAAGAGTATTAGAAAAAAAGTCGAGTGTGTCTTACTAAACAGACGTTTAAGAATTAAGAATATCAAATTCCTTGTAGTTATGCTACAAATTCTCAGTTTACAACTAAATACCTAAGTATTTCTTGAATCAAAGACGCGATTTAGAAATCTCGTTTTATTCATAATCATTGAGATTAATTAACTCACCATGCAAATGAGACACTTAAAGAGTTGTCCGCGCATCTCAGCTTCGAGCTCGCGGATGCGGCCACGAAGAGCCTCAACGACGGGTGTATCACCATCTCTCCTAGGCGACCCGGAGGCACCTTCATCGGGGTCGTTTTGTTGAGCGACGGGCGTTGCGGCGCCCGGCTCCGGCTTCACCTCGACCAGGCCCTGCGCCGTCAATCCAGAGTCAGGGGTCAGCTGTTGCGGCGTATGCGGCGCGTTCGGCGAAATAACGGCCTCGCGAAGCGCGTCCCGTTCTTTCTGTTCTCGCGGCGTGCCATCGACTCGCGGCGCGACCACGTCCGCTTCGGAATACTGAGCTGGACCGAACTCAGCGGCGTCGTCGCCATCAACCACCAGATCGACGTCTTCGTCCTCCTGATTACCACCACCCCTGGCACCACTACGATTGCTCGAGGAAGTGGCGAGGCCCGCGGCTGCGAAGAAAGGAATAGCGATCTCTAAAGCCTGTGTCACACTACACATTCGAGACTGAGGTTGCGAATTAGAAATTATTCGACCAGTCATATAATTTTAATTTTAATCCAGTTCGTTCTTTTCCGATTGTTTTTCGGCAAACGACGCGTAAAACAAATGATATTTTTTGAAAGAAACTTGAAAAGACACTACATGTTGCATACAACACAGGACAACTTAATTTTTTTTGTCCCTGAGTCAAAGATTTTTTAAATTCTATTATAATCAATATAAATTGATTATCTCTCTCTAAAAATAGGATATGTAAAGAAGATAGTGAAGAAAATTATTAGAGAAGGAAGGTTGAATGTAGTTATGCAACATAGAATCGTAATTTTAAGATTTTTTATTCTGCATGGTAAAAACATATCTTAACTTTTGGCGCACGTATACGCCAGAATAATTTTTTTAAAAAAACTATTTAAAAAATTTCTAAATTTACAATTAATATAAAGTATCTATCTTTTTTCTTATATAGAAATTTGAATTCTTTTGAATGCTTTTTTATGCAAAGGCAAACCAAATAAATAACACGATTATAGTTCCTGTTATACAATTTATAATTATCAATTAATGTATATTTATTTTATTTTTGTTTTCGCAAAAAAATATTTAACGTTCTATCGATCCGGCGTTTTTATAGATAAGTATAAAATCATGCATTATGTGTGCTTCGTAACCGCAAATTTAATACAAATATTCTGCATGATATCATAATAAATGTATGCATAGTTTAACTCTGCAAATGGACTTACCAGAAAACCCACCAACGAGCATAGAAGTGGCACGCACTCTTGTCTGCCCGGCCCACTCGTACTCCTCGTATTCGGGGTCGCCCTCGACGTCAACCTCTTCCTCGTCGACATTCGCGTTCTGCCCGGCTGGGTTTCCATTGTTCTGCTTATTCAGGCATCGGTCGACGTGTTGATTCAATTCTTCCGGAGTGCCTGACAGTCTCTCGCTACAAACCGGACAAGACGCCTCGTCCGCTTTTCGCTTTCGATTCTTAACGCGTATTCTGGCCTGTATATAAAAAATAGCAATTTGCATATCTTTATTATAATTAGTAATTATCACAGTAAACAAACTTAGTGGTTCGATTTCAAAATAATATTATAAAGGGCATACACTACGCAAGGCGAATATGAAATACGCTCGTTTAGTTCAGATATAGAATCTGGAAATTTTTTTATGCGTCGAGCAACAATCAAATTCTTGAACATCCTATTTTTTTAAAAATGGATTACTTCTTTAAACATATCTGAACAAGAAACGAGCGTATTTCATGTAATTAAACTGACAAGAGTTGTATTTTTGATATCCTTTCATATATTATGTTAATTTAGTCTAAAAATTATACTAAATTTATTTTTTAGTTTTATATTGAAGATGTTCTGATTAAAACCGAAACGTTTATATTTTATCTTATTGTTTGAAATTAATAAATCTTTATTATTTGCTTCTAAGACCTTGCGTAGTGGTGTATGCCCTTTATAATATTATTTAGTAATTATCACGTTTCTCATATCTTGTCGGAATCTCTCAATTTGCTTCTTCGAGAAATTATGAAAACATCACGTGATTAATGAAAGATTAAAGTTGGATCTACAACGTGCTGTTTGCTTTCTGTTTCTTAGTTTTTACCTCTTGCCTTTTTCCTTCTTTGCGATCGTTTTATAGACAATCGTGTTTCTTGTCATGTGTTTCTTATCTCTTCGGAAGTTTATCAACTTTTACCTCAGGCGACGAAAAACGAAAAAACAAAATAAGACGCAAAAAGACAAGAGGTAAAAAGCAAGAAACATGAAGTGAAGAGCACATTGCAATCAGGTTTAAAACAGGAAATCAAGAATGCATTACTTGTCTATTGGCCTTGATCCTTTTGTATGTCTCCCATCTACCCTGAGGAGTGCCATCCGCCGCCGATGGGGCATGGAGCATCGTGCCATGGGAATGATCTTGGGGGTGCGTCGGCGGTAAGGTCGACCTCGAAGGTCGAGGTCTTGAAGACGCCGAGGAGACCTTGTACAATCGATCGAGCTCTTGAGCAAAATGTTGCTCTAGTTCTTGAGGTCTCACTGTCACTCCGCATACGGGGCAGCAAGATGGATCCGAAGGGAATTTTTTCTTGCCTAAAATAAAAATAAATCACATTACGATTAGAATATTTTGATATTTGGTATAATGATGATATCATTTTACGGATTTCATCAAACGGATGTCAATTGTTTTTATTTAAAGTACCTATTCATTGATTTTACTAATAATTCGTAAAATATGAGAAAAGATGTGTGAGATAATCTTTTCAATGTCTTTTAATCAGTTTTCTATTATAATTGTTTTTTCTGTTCATATAATTCAATAGCAAATAATAAGTATTGTTGCGTTTGCGTATATTTCGTAGACGAACAAGACTTAAAGTTGAAAACAATAAGTAAAAAAACAAACATATAAGAGTCAGACGTGAAACTTCGTGTGCACAGAATTTGATTATTAAAATACTGATTTTATTAAAATCATGTAAATATACATTATATGTTTTGGCTCCTTTTTGAGCCATTTTCAAATACAATTTTACAAAAAGTTAAATAATCCTATAAATTAGGTTGTCAATCACTGCTCTTTTAATATTTAACAGTGTAGAAGAAGCCACAAATTACTTGAGACGATTTTTCCACATTTTTCTCATTCATTTTTGAAACAGAAGTAAGTGTCATTATATAGTAATGTATATACCGTTCTTGTGCGTCAATGAAAAGTATTGTCTGTAAAATAATTTTCAGCAAAAAGAAAAACAGAATGAGAAGAAAGTAATTCCCTCTTATTTGACAATTAAATGCATTTAAAGGATGCCTTTGATGTCCTCGGAAGTGAGGATTTATCCAGCGCCCGCGCTCGAGGAATGGGATCACCGGGGGCCGCACCGCCTCTTGGAAGACATCGGCTAACGCGATTTAAAAAGTATTCAAATTGCGTTGTAATTACTTTTCGCGACGTCGAGTCGTCCTCGCCGTCGAGGCGCGCGCGTCGCATTAAGTCCAGAAACGAGCCGCGAAACGAAAACCGCCGTCGTAGGTCAACGCGGTCCGGCTCGTTTACTCGCAATTTATTGCCCCGTAAAACGGCGAATAAAAGGGAAAAAAAAGAAGAGGACGAAAGGCGGAAAGAGGCAGTCAAGAGGTGAAAGGGAGGAGGAGGGGAAGAAGATGGGCGAAGGAAAAAGCGCGGCATGGAGCAAACGGCCGCGTGCCCGCGGTAATCCAACGGGATACTTCTGTCTCGAGCCTCGCGCGCCAGACGCACTCTGACGGGAATGCATAATTAATTGCGCAAGCTTGTCGCCGCCTGTATCATCGCGAACCCCGCGGTTCGGCCACCGAGGGTAAATGCATGAACTCATAGGAAAAGTTCGCGGTGCCGAAGTGCCGGATTCCTTCTCGGTTGATTTTAATTACGCGTTAATCGCTCGTATCTCAAGGTAGCTTCATAACATTTCGCTGCGTTGTAAGAATGCCGAAAGCATTTATACGACGGTAAATATTTATCGCGAGGCGTACGATAGCCGCAGATGAGGAAGGTGGGATCAGGGTCGCGGTCGCGATGAATCCCGAT